CTTCTCCCAGGTCCTTCCTTCTCTGGGGGCCCTCTTTCTCTGTTCGGAGGTCCGGATTCACACCGTTAAAGCTAACGGGATCATTCAAACGCCAAACATCCAACTCCTTTTCAGAAACTGGGGAGCAGGCGGGGCAGTGTGGGTGGGAGTGCGGATCACACATGGAACGTGTGGGAGAGCGACGGTTCAAGCCAACCGGGGACCTGACTCGCAGCCCACCTTCCTGTTCCCTCTGCCAGGCAAACCGGTGTCGTCCTCGGCTCAGAAAACAGCAAGGAGGCACCGGGTCAGCCGGGAAAGGTGTGCCCAGGGTGGGGCCTGGCGGGGAGCAAGGCAGACCCAGCTTTGCTCTTGGCTCCCAGCACTCAAATAGGCAAAATAGGGGCAGATGATGATAAGTGCCGTGCAGGAAATAAAGTAGGGCGCCGGCAGGGATGCTGGCAGCCTGGAGAGGTGTTAGGGATTGCAATCTGCATGAGAGAGGTGAGCCACACAGCAAGTGCAAACGAACTGAAATGGGAACCCCCAGGCACGTGGCCGAGGGCAGACTCACCCCAAGTTTGATGAGAACTCACCAGAGGCCTCTTAGCAGCGAGAGGCAGTCCACACGGGATTGGGCTTCTGTTGACCATTCCCTCTGCTGCTGCGAGGAGGGGGCTGGAGAAGCCAGAGTGGAAGGATGGGGAGAGCATAGGGGCTTGGGAGAAGTGGGTGAATGTGGGGCCAACTGGGGGTCAACCTGATGACGGGTTGAGTGAGCAGGTACCTGGTAGAGGGGGAAAACAAATGAGAGGGGGCATGCTTCCGGCCTAGAACATTCTGTGAAAGCCTGGGGAGGAGCAGGCTCGCAAGAGAAAATCCGTTGTTTCAGCCACTGCACAGAGAGCTGTGGAGGTGGCGGCAGGCGGCCGGACCCCACAGTCTGTTGGTGCGGAGAGAGGCAGAAATCAAGGCTGGGGGAGAAAGGTGTCCTCCCTGCATGGATATGTGTGGGGCCCCAGGCCTGCACCAGCTCACTCACCTGGGGAGAGGAGCCTAAGAACATAAAACAAGCCCCTCCTTTTCTTCGTTGTGGCCTTTCCACATTTATGAGAAGCACCTGGTAATTAAACGCAGAGACTGCTGGCTGGCTCCTAGGGTTCAAGCAGCCTCTCTATTCAAACATGGAGGCAGATAAGGGCTGTGCTCAAGGCGGCACTCCCCTCCCTACACCCCCCCCCCCCCTGCTGCTTTAACAGCTCCGGGGTGATTCTCCCCTGGAGTCTCCAGTTAGTAGACTTTCTCCCCCCCTACCCCCCCCTTCAGAAAAGCCTCCTTTGTAACTTTGGCTCTAAGCTTGTTTAAAAGGCTTGAAAAAATGCTGATAAAGACACCTCCTTGGCACATCTGTGGGCTGTCTCCTGGAAATCACAGGAACCGTGATTTTTTTCAGACAACCCAGGTATCTGGTCACCGCTGAACCGCTAATTTAACACAGTCCCTGCCCTTCCTTGTCGCCTAGCAACAACAGCAGCAACTGCTGGCTCTTTAAAAGTGCCGACTCTTTCTTCCCCACCCAGTATTGCCTATCTATCAATACTTGGCCCTCTTCTCCCTGGTAAAGTAAAATTTCCTCGCTACGTCTCTTCTCTTAGTTGTGAACTCTTTCACAAACCGTGTCCCTGGCCCAAAATCTAACAAGAGAACTCCTCCCCTGAGCTTCCTCGAATGGCCAGGCCTGGCCACTTCCAGATGCTCCTTTTCTCATGTTTTGCCATTTTTCATCATCCTCAGGAGGGTGGCAGGGAAGTCAGTTACCAGGAGTGTAGAGCTTGGGTCCTGAAGGCTAGCAGGACCCCAACCCTAACCACCAACTGCCCCTCCCTCCAGTGGGCTAAAGCCACGTGGTCCCCGCCAGCTCCCACAGCCTGGAGTGAGTCTTCCTGAGCCTTGGCTCACAGCAGCCAGCCCACCTTCCGGCGAAAGCACCTCCTCCACTGGCAGGACGAGGGATCTGCCAGGGCTGGGATGGACTCTGCACAGCGTGGGCCACACTGCCTGCCTGCTGGGCCACCACTGATTGCTTCTCTCCTACACGTATGGTCAGGGCTCCAGAACGTTCTCTCTGCCCCACACGGTTCTGGGAGTCTGGCTCATCTGCAGGAAGCACACCCCGTTTCTCCCCAGCCCAGGTCAAGTCAGATTTTTTTAAGGGAAATTGGAAATGTGGATTGCATTTTTATCTGAAATCGCCTGCTTTTTAAAAGACCTGGAACTATATCTGTTTAAAAAAAAAACACACACACAAAAAAAAAACACTGGGTGAAATGAGGAGTCCAGCAGGCGATTCTTGGGAGTGTGAGCTTGGCCTCTGTGGCTGGAAGCTCAGCAGGCTCCTCAGCTTTGCTGGATCTTCCGCTCTGATGATAAACCTGCTTTCTGAGAGGATGACACTTTGATGGGCCAGCCCTTCCTTCTTGAAACTCCCTCCTCCTCTGCCTCCATGACACCAACTATACCTGGTTTCTTCCTTCCTCTTTGCCCGTTCTTCTTCTGACTCCAACAGAGCAGTTTCTGTTTTCTACCATCCCCACGTCCTCCTTCCCCTCCCAGCATGCTGCTGCCACCAGCTCCAGATTCACATTTCCAGCGACCTTCTCTCCAGTGATGGCGGCACAAATGTCTCTCTGGGAGGTGCCCTGGCCGCCCACACTGGGGTTCCATCGGGGGTTTACCCTTTGCTTTTCCTTTGACTTTTCAGAGACCAAAGCTCAAGCCCCTCTCGGCCAGTCACCTGGCCACCTCCTCTCACCTGGTTTCCTCTGGCCCACTCTCTTCTGGGGTCCCTGCTCCCAGCCCATCTCCAGGCATCTGGCCAACCCAGGGAGGGCCGCCATGCACCTCCCGGCGAGCCCTCCGCTCATTCTTGGAAGGCTCCCCCGCTGGGCAGACTCGTGACTGTGGGTTGGCTGTGGCATCTGCATTTTGCCACTTCTCTCTCATCTCTATGAATCCTGGCTTCCAGACTCCAGCCAGCACACAACTTGCATTTCAGAGCTCGAGGTCTTTGCTCAAGCCGATGGGTCTTTGCAAGACCCTCCCCATGCTCCAATGCAGCTTCCAGGGCTCAGCTCTGGGTCACTTTCAGAAATCTAGGTCGGTAGTGCCATTCAGGGGGTCCTCCTTTGTGGGAGAAGGGGTTGGCCTTCTCTGCAGGGACATGGACTACGATCTTTCCTCTCTTCTATAGCATGTACTCACTGTCCTCAGGGGCAGACGCCCGTTCCTGAATCATCACCACCAACCACCACCCCCAAAGAACACCGCTTCGCCTTTCCCAGCTTCAGTTTCTTCCTTTCCTGGGGCTTATTCACTAGCTTTCTGAGGGCAAATGGGTTCTGTGCAAGCTCCATGAAAGAGATGGGACCCTACAAGAGAGGAGCCTGCTGGGGGCAGAAGGTCCCAAAACGTGCCATGCCCCCACCATTTAGAGACCCCTTAGCCTCCAGCTCCCTGCACTCTGGAACCCTAATTCTCCTGCCTGCCATCCACCCACTCTTCCTCCATGCTGGGCTCCCAGGGGCTTGTTCTTGTTTGCATCTCTGCAGTGGCCCCTTGGTCCCGGGCCTTAAATCACTTACTCCAAAGGGGGTCAGCTCTCCTCCCCAGTGTCTCCCCGCAGCCTCAGCTTCCCCGAAGTGGAGGCTTCTTTTGCTTCAAGACTGTCCCGCGCACCTCCTAAGCTCCTCCAATCCTGGGTCCAGCAAAGCTCACGTCCACCAGCCTCTGTAGGGTCTCCGCCGAATACACAAGAGGTCTCTCCAAGATCCTCTCTCAACTTCCCTTCCCAGAAAGGGGGCAGGGTGTGTTCAGGAACTAAAAGCAACTACCCACCCCGCGGCCTTGCACCGGCTCCATTCAGTCCCACCTAGGAGCTCCCATGTGGCTTTGGGGGGAGTGGGGGCGGCGGTGGTAGCTACCCACGAAATGGGTATTTGGAACATCAACAGTGTGTGTGTGTGTGTGTGTGTGTGTGTGTGTGTGTGTGTGTGTGTGTGTGTGTGTGTGTGCGCGGGGGGGAGGGAGGCAAGAAAACGCGCTCAGAGAGGCACTGCCATCTTCCTGGCTCCTCCGGTGCTGCGCTCAGGCCCGCAGCCATGACAAGGCCGCGGGATGGCGGCTGCGGGCGGCGGGCAGAAGCCCCCTAAGACGCCCAGCTCACTGCCCCCGCCGACCACGTGAGGGCGTGCCGTGTGTTAGTTCGGACAAATTAAAGCCGGCCCTGCGAGCAGCCCGGGGGTTCCCTGGTCGCGGTCGGGGCTTGGGTGCACGGGGCGCACTCTAGGCTGCCACCCGCAGAGCTCAGGGCCGCGGGGCCTCCCCCGGGACCTGCGCTATTCGTCCCCAAACCCGGCGCCCCCCTCCACTGGCGCTCTGCGGCCTAGGGTGCGCGCCTCCGTTCCCCGATGCCGGGGCCTCCCCGGGCACAGGCCGCCCCCTCGCCGGCCCCCGGGCTCCGGAACTGTCCGGGACGCAGGCCTGAGCGCGCGCCGGGGCCGGGCCGGTGCGGAGCGGGAGGCCGGCGGCCCGCGAAGGGGCTCCAAGAAGCACAAGCGGGAGCTGGCTGCGGACCAGGCTGTTGTTGTTCTCAACGTGGTCCGCCGCGGCGCCATAAAAGGGCAGCGCGGCGCCCTCCCCGGCGGAGCGCAGCGCGCACGCTCAGAGCTCTGGCGGCCGCGGCGGCAGCGGCAGCTCCCTCGGGCGGCGTCTCCGCTCCGGCGCGCTCCCGGCTCCGCTTTCCTCCGCCCTCTCCGGCCCAGCCCCGGCCCGGGACGCCCGCCGGCCCGGCCCCCGCCCCCGCCCTAGCCCTGCCGCCTGGCTCCCGGCCTGGCCGCGGCCGCTCCCGCCTGGAGCCGCCGCGCGCCCCCAGCTCCCCGGCGTCCCCGCAGCCCCTCGCGTTCCTCTTCCCGGCGCGGCCACCCGGCTTCCGCGTCCGGCCCGCCGCCAACCCGCTCGCCACTATGTCCGTGGAGCTCGAGGAGGCCCTGCCGCTGACCACCGCCGACGGAGCGGCCAAGAGGGCGGCCAAAGCCAGCGGCTCGGCGGCGCCGTCCCCATCCAAGAAGAGGAAGAACAAGAAGAAGAATCAGCCGGGCAAGTACAGCCAGCTGGTGGTGGAGACCATCCGCAGGCTGGGCGAGCGCAACGGCTCGTCGCTGGCCAAGATCTACACGGAGGCCAAGAAGGTGCCGTGGTTCGACCAGCAGAATGGGCGCACCTACCTGAAGTATTCCATCAAGGCCCTGGTGCAGAACGACACGCTCCTGCAGGTGAAGGGCACCGGCGCCAACGGCTCCTTCAAGCTCAACCGCAAGAAGGTGGAGGGCGGCGGCGAGCGGCGCGGGGGCTCGGCGGCCGCCGCCGCCCCGGCCGCAGCCGCGCACAAGGCCAAGAAGGCGGCCCCGGCCGCGGCCCCCCGGCGCGCGGACCCGAAGCCCGAGAAGCGCTCGCACAAGAAGGGCGCCGCCTCCCAGAAGCACAAAGGCGGCAAGGCCAAGAAGGCGGCGGCGGCCGCGGCCGCGGGCAAGGTGAAGAAGGCCGCCAAGCCCAGCGTCCCCAAGGTGCCCAAGGGCCGCAAGTGAGCGCGCCGGGCGGGCGGGCGGGCGGGCGTTCGGTTTTTTGTATCCCAAGTGTATGTAGTTTTTTACGGTTCCCCGGCCCAGGCCTTGGCGCCCGCCGAGCGCAGCGAGGGGCCCAGGGCCCCTCCGTCCCTCCCATCCCCCCGCCCATCGTGGTAGTGTGTTGTTTTTTTGTTTATTTGCTTTGGATTTTGAAACGGCCCTGGCGACGCCCCCATTGGCTCCTCGCCCTTGGCAACGGCTGTCGCTATGGTTACCCGCTCTCAGGCGCCACTGGCCGGAGCCACCGTGCCGCCCTCCGTCCCCCTCTCTTCCCGCCTTTCGGTGCGCGACGAACAATCGCGCGGTACTGCGTGGCGCTTCCCTCCCTCCCATCCCGTCAGCATCTGGGGGCACAATAAATTGTTTAAACCTTGGAACCGCTCTCGTTTTCTTCGTGGAACGGGGATGGGCGCGGTCGGCACTCTGCAGTGGGATGATGGGCCCCAGGGGACCGGGATCCTGCGAGCACAGCTCGAAAAGATGCTGGGGGTGGTCTGCCGGGTCCGGGATAAGGGCCCCTCGGCCTTGAGATGGAGGGAGGGGCGGTGCTTTTTCAGGATTTGAAGGTAAGGGGCCCCTCGGCTCTTACAAGGCCACACCAGGTTGGGCTTTTGTGGAGGTAAATTATTCAGTGATTTAGTGTGGATGTGAAATTAATGGCGGAGATGTGGAGGCCCTGGGCTCTGGCTCTCCATCCACGTCCCGAGGTGCAGCCTGAGCAAGGCACTGATTGGCCCTGTTTGTTGGCTAATCTGGAGTGCAGACTGGATCGGAGGGTTTCTGGGCTCATGGGGAAGGATGACCCTTAGCCCCGAGATGCTCTGGTGTCCAGCATATGGATAGTTGTCCCTCGAGTTGGGTAGCAGGCTGAGTCGTGTTCTGACATGTTTCTATAAAAAGACAATCTTAAAACCAGGGAATGCTCTAGAACAGTGGGTAGTAAATGTACCAAATTGGGCTGGGAGGGGCTGGGGTTAAGGGAGAGAGATGCAGGGGATCTTTTGATCCCTATGCAGACTGGATGGTAGGGAAGGGCAAAAGATTGGGGGAGGGGAGAGAGAATCACTGGAGAAAGACCTCTGGCCTCCTGATACCCCTGATCTGAGTGTGACTCGTGACTTGATGGCTGCAGGAAGCGCGGTCATTAGGGCAGAGAAAGAAATGTGATGCTAGACTTGGCTGGGGCTAGTTGTTGGGGACTGGGCATCCAGGAAACAGCAGGAGGCCTCAGTTGGAAGCTGGACCAGTAGTGGGCCAGGGCTGATGGCTCCACTGACCCTGCCAGCCCATGTCCTTGGCCATTTGCTGATCAGGAACATCTACTTTACAGTTGAGATTGGGGAGCATTGTTCCCCGTGCCCTGCTGAGTTTTGTGCTAGTCTTATCCCTTTAGTCCTAGGGATGGTTGCATGGCCCAAAGATAGAGCGAATGGGGGTTGAGTCAGATGTTCACTCTGACACATTGACTGGGTCAGAAGTAAGTTGGTTTTTTTTACCCCATGGGCTTACTGAAAGTCAATGTTCTCTTCCCCAGAACCACCAAGGATAGGAACATGGGGCTAGAATTGCTAGTGCCCATCTCTGTCAACACATAGGAAGGGCCTCCCTGAAAAAGAAGCAAAGACTGAGAATGTTGGGATCAAAAAATAGAGACAGATGCATGAGGATTTGAATGGAGCCTCTGGATCCAGCCATGCCTGTGCCACGAAAAGCAAGCTAGTTTGAACTGAGTTTCTGTCATTTGAGATTTGGTCTCTCCTTTGACTCATTTGACCCTCCCATGATCACATCCTGGTCCTTATTATTCCTTCAAATTGCTCTTTCCCCTGAAACCACTCCTCAGTGTCCCACTCTATCCTCAGGCCTCTCCTCTGCAGCTTGCTCTTAGGTCCTTCAGCTGAGCTGCACCTCTGTGGGTGGATCCCACATCTCTGCATGATCCTAAGTTGAAGGATGAATAGCCACGATCAGCCCCAGCTGAACACTCGATATGTACCAAGCACTTTGAGGAAAGCAGTACAGGTCTCAGCTTAGCCTCACAACAGCCCCAGTGAGAAGGTGTCAAAAAACTCACCTTACTGGTGCGGGAGGTTTATTTTCTGCCAACACCATCCTCGGCTCCTGTGTGGAGCTGGGGAGCTGAGGATAGGCACACCATTCACCTACTGTGTCCCTTGGACTTGGCTTCAGGGAGCTTCGGTTCCAGGTGAACATTGAAGGCACCTAACACCGCAAGGCCCAGGAGGAGGGCTTCACTGGGGAGGTGACTCCAGCACAGAGAGGAGGCAAAGGACAAGGTAGGCAGCAATGGCTCAGGCCGTGGCACCTCGGCATCCACTGATCAGGAGGGGGGTTGAATGGAACCAGGTCCTGGAGGCTGAGGTCAGGCATTCTGGGTCTGGCTCCACAATGGCCTTTTGGTCTAGGGCAAGATTGTCCTCCCCCAGCAGGTTCTTCTATAAGTGGAGCCAAGGAAGATTTTTATTCAGCTGCCAACCAAGGAGGGTCTGAACACACTGCCTCTGGCCAGGGTCTCCAGGTTTTTCATTCCTCTTATCTCTTTGGAGTATTGCTCTCTATCTTGCCTCCCTGTGAACATCCTAATCAGGTCTACTGTCTAGGTCTCTAGTTCCAACTTTCTGGCCCCAGGACAGCCCTACCAGCATTCAAAAGGCCCTTTTCCAGGCTGTGCAGCCTTAGCAATCCACCCAGTTGATTCCCATGGACCAACCTAGCTGTCCTACTGTGGCAGGGCTTACTGCTGAGCACATGACCTGTATAGCGAAGTCTGAACACTTAGCACAGGGGTACTTGTGTCCCAGGCATCAGATCTGGGATGGCCAGAGACAGCTCATGAGGCCATTTACATTTGCAAAATAAAAGACAGTGACACAGAGGTACCAGAAGAACAGATTGCAATATTTTTTTTTTTTTTATATTGCAATATTTTATACAAGGGCCTAGTCCACAGCCATTAATGCAGAACATCATGCAAAGCTGAGGCAAGGATAGAGATCAGACCTGCTCCCTGTTCTGAAGCTCAGCCACATGCAGGAGGAGGACTGATGAACCAAGTTCCAGGTAGGAACATTGCAGGCAGTAGCAGCACTAGCACAGGCCCCCGGGTATGGAAAAAGCCCCTGAGTTTGGGGAATGATGAAAGCAGTGAGCTGACTGACAGATCATGAGGCAGGAATAGTGAGTAGTGGGATTTCAGGTTCCCGGATCAATCAGAGTTCAATGGAGAAGCAGAACCAGAAGGGATACACACCTTTATAGTATTCGATGTGCTACCAGGAATTGGCCTGCATACTTGTGAGACTGATTAAGCAATTTCTGTAAGGCTAAATCTCTGACTGATGCTGGACCTGAAGGTGCTCAGTCAGAAGGGGAAGATCATGAGCGGCTGAAAGCCACTAGCATAAGCTGGAGTCCTAGGATGGACTATGCCTGTGTCCATTATTGCTGCTTCTGATTTTGGTGACAAGGGGATCCTGCAGAAGCTGAGTGAGGACCTTCTTCATACAGAGCTAACTAACCATGCACACAACTGATTGTGGAGTCAAAAACAAGACCTGAAGGAGAGTCTAGGGAAAATAGGGTAATTGTAGGCCTACGTGCTGCTTCACACTAAAGATCTGCTTCATACGCAGATCAACAATCAACATGGTTGCTTCCTTCCAAATCTGGCAAATATATGCCTTTTAGCCCTCCCTAACAAGAAACAAAATAAGGGAGTTCTGGGAAATGTAGTTTAGCTGAGACAAGTTGACAAAGCCATCACAGTTCCCCCATTATAAAATGGATCTGGCCCTAGCTGGTTTGGCTCAGTGGATAGGCCTGAAGACTGAAGGGTCTCAGGTTCAATCCCAGTCAAGGGTATGTACTTAGGTTGCAGACTCGATTTGCCTTCCTCCCCTGCATACCCCCAGCCCCCAGCCTTAGTCTGGGACACATGTGGGAGGCAATTGATGGGTCTGTTTTCTTTCATATGGATGTCTCTCTTAGTCTATCCCCCTCCTTTCCACTCTCTTAAAAAATTTTTTTATGGAAAATCCTCAGGTGAGGATTAACAAAATGGATGAGGGTGAGGAGACTAGACCAAGGTCTCAAACACAGAGGTGCAGGATACCAGGCCAGACAGGGTGGTTTGGCCATCTGGAGGACACAAGACCCTGTCTGAATTGGGGCAATAACTACCCAGTCCTGCTGATTGTTGCCAGGCAGCATGTGGCTTAGTATGGCAAGAGCTTCACATTTTTTCAGACTGTGTTAGAAGCATCTCATGAAAAAAAATTCTTTTTTGTTAATCCTCACCTGAGGATATTTTTTCCCATTGATTTTTAGAGAGTGGACGGAGGAAAGGGGAGAGAGAGAGAAAAAAAAAAAAATCAATGAAAGAGACACATAGATTGGTTGCCTTCTGCACCTGCTCTGATCGGAGCTGGAGATCAAATCTGCAACCCAGGCTAAGTGCCCTTGACCATGAATCGAACCTGCAACGCTTCAGTGCACAGGCCAATCAATGCTGTAACCACTGAGAAACACCGGCCAGGGGTCATGAAATGTTCTTAAGTCCCTCTTCTACAGGCAAGGGGGATTGGCCTGGACCATTCAGGGAGGCATGCGTAAGATGCCTTAGCATGGCAGTGGTCCCACATGAGCTCAGCTCCGTCATTTGAGGCACACATCTCGAGAATTTATGTGAAAACTATAAACTTTTTTTGTGTGTGAAACCTCCCACTTTTAAGATGTGGGCTAAAAAAAAAAAAAAAAAAGTTTCTATTTCACACATGTTAGGATATTTAAAAAATAGAACAAAACAAGGATGGCGAGGATATGGAGAAATTGGAACCTTGTCCACTGTTGGTGGGAATATAAGATGCAACTGCTATGGAAAATAGTATGGTGGTTTCTCAAAAAGTTAAACATAGAATTACCATAATTTCACTTCTCAGTATACATAAAAAATAAAAAAAAATTGAAAGCAGGGTCTCGAAGAGTTATCTGTACACCATGCTCATAGCAGCATTATTCACATTAGCCAAAAGGTGGAAGCACCCCGAGTGCTTCGGTGGATGAATGGGTAAGCAAAATGTGGTCTATCCATACAGTGATGTTATTATCTTAAAAAGTAAGGAAATTCCGATATAAACTACAAAATGGATGAATCTTGAGGACAATATGCTAAGTTAAATAAACCAGACACAAAAAGATAAATACTATATGACTCTACTTATATGAAATATCGGATTCATAGAGATGTAAAGTTAAGTGGTGGTTGCCAGGGTTGGAGGGAGGGAGGAATAGGGAGTTGCTATTTAATGGGTAAAAAGTTCCAGTTTTGCAAGATGAAAAATCTCTAGCAGGGTAACACAGTTGTTTAGAGCAGTGTTCGCCAACCTTTCAGACTTCATGGATCACCAGTGGTCTGTGGACCACTGGTTGGCGACCACTGGTTTAGAGCATTGTCCCACTTTGCCAAGGTTGAGGGTTGGATTCCCAATCAGGGCACATACAAGAATCAGCCAATTAATGCATAAAATAAGTGGAACAACAAATAGATGTTTCTCTCCCTTTCTCCTTTCCTCTCCCTAAAATCAATAAATAAAAATTTTTAAAAATAAAAGCTCCTGCGGACACATTATTTTTTCATGTCCTACCTTGAAATGAAAAGACCTACCTTGGCAAGTAGCTCAGTTGAATAGTGTGTCCTCCCCATACACCAAGTTTGCAGGTTTGATTCCCAGTCAGGACACATATAAGAATGAATGAATACAACAAATTGATCTTTCTTGCTCTCTCTCTAAAAATAATATGTTTGTTTGGGGTTTTTTAAAGAAAAAACCCTACCAAACTGATTTATAACCCTGACAGTGGGGAGATAGTAATGAAAAATAAGGGAAATTTCATTTTTGTTGCTTACTAAACCTGAGGCTAAAGAAATAAGTCAACCTTCTGGTAAGTTCAAGGCTTGTGTTTTTTTAAGATTTTTAATTGATTTGGGGTTGGGGGGGGAAGAACCATTGATGTGAGAAACACCTATCTCCTGCCTTTTGCATACCCCCTCCTGGGATCCTACCTGCAACGCAGGCATGTGCCCTGACCAGGAATCAAACCAGCAAGCTTTTGGTGTATGAGACAATGCCCAATCAACTGAGTTACACTAGCTAAGGTTAGTTATGTGTATTTTTAAAAAAATATATTTTATTGAGTTTTTACAGAGAAGAAGAGAGAGGGATAGAAAGCCAGAAACATCGATGAGAGAGAAACATCGATCAGCTGCCTCTTGCACACCCTCAAATGGGAATATGCCCACAACCAAGGTACATGCCCTTGACCGGAATCGAACCTGGGACCCTTCAGTCCGCAGGCTGACGCTCTATCCACTGAGCCAAATCGGTTTTGGCAGTTATGTGTATTTTTTTAAAATCTCAATAATACCACCAAAACACCATGCAGAGCAACTCAAGCAAAACTGGAGGCCACAATAAAGTACTCCAGATGAGTATCTAACTGTAAAGCAGTTCAGTGCCAAGGAGGAGCCTGCAGAGCAAATCATAGGGGCTCTGACCAGGCCAGGGCAGGCAGATGGTCAGCTCCCACCTTTACCCCAAGCCCGAGTCATCCCTCTGTGCTCTGCTCTACCCAGAGGCCGGGGATCTGCATAGGACGTGGAGGCTGTGACTAGGATTCTCCTCACCCAGACTCTATGCTCCCTAGGTTAAGGCCAGAGTCTTGTTCCCTGTACCCCATTCTCCCCCCAGTCCCTTGTGTTTGGCAGGTTGTCAGGTAGATTTCAAGCTAAGGGATTCAGACAACTAATACTTTCAATAATAAAGATTTTAAAAAAGATTCAGACAACTTCCAAGATAGAAGAGACTCACTAAAGAACCCTGCCAGCAAACCTTTTGTTTATTTCCAAAAAAGCAGTTTTGTCCACAGAAAGCCCAAAATAAGTCCCAGAACTACCCCCACCAATAGCAGCATTTTTTGAAATATAAACAGTTTGTAAAATATAATTTATTCAGAAAAAAATACGTGTTAAGAACTTAATTCCAAAAGACTGACAGAGCTCACAGGCTAAGCAACACCAGGCCAGGAGCTGAGAACTGCCAGGAGGATCAGGCTTTGAGGGAGGCTCCATCAGTCTTACTGAAATAGGGCTGCAGGCATAATGAGCCCCTATGAGCTGATGGAAGTGGGCCCTCCCCTTCCAGGCTGCCCAAATCCCCTCTGGGTGTTCTCCGTCCCAGCCAGGTTAGCCGCTCCCCCATGAACCCACAGCTGTTAACTAACACGGTGCTACCTCCTCCCAGAGCAAAGCCATATACACACAGCGAAAGAATCTGTCATCATCAACAGCATTTAGTGCAGCAACCATGACCTTGGTCTCTCAAAGTCCTGCGTTACTGGTTGTGAGGCCGCTTGGCCGCTGGCTCTTCCCCCTTCTCCTGTTTCAGCCATCGCTCCATGAGCCCAGCGGCTCCTCTCTTGGGAGGGAGCGGGCTCTTCTGCAGGAACTGGCTGGACCACTGGGGCACATCTGGCTCTGCCTTTTGGGGTGTTTTGGGGTTTTCCTTTTTGGGTGACTTTGTGGCCAGCCACTGCAACATCTGGCTGCTGCCGCTTGGCTTGGACTCCTAGGGAAAAGATGAAAAAACATTTAGCTCACGCTTTTGGGAAAAGGACAACTCCAAGGGAAGAAATAGGGGAAGAGGCATGAGGTACTGACCCAGATTTATAAGTTGTTACTAAAGGCAGATAGGACGCACTGGTCAGGAGCGGGAAGAAAAGAGCAACTGAGTGTCTCCAAGAGGCTAAGGGGAGGGAGGAGCTCTTAGAGAAGGCCTGATGGAGGTCTGTGCAGCCATTCACAGCAGAGCACTGACAGCCTTTCAAACGTTCTCAGGGAAAACAATGTAATTTAGTGGGACCAGGCAAAGAGTTGGGAGATGAAGTTGGGGGAGATAGGGCTTCGAATAGCCTCCAAGATTAGGGGTTCAGCCTAAGCCTGAACAGGCTGCTTCCCTACCATGTAACTTTTCTGCACAACCTCTCCTTGCCCAGCACTGCTCTTCTGCTTCCCTTACCTGCACCCCAACCCAAATCGAAGGTTCTGAATTCAACAATACTACCTCACCAAAATGTGAATTCTTTTGGTGTAAAGACCATGTCAGAAACGGGGCAGTGTCTAGTGCAAAATGAGTCATTTTTAGAGACATCTAATTAAAAAATATATATATCAGGGTTGCATGAGTTTGCAGATAAAGAGACAAAAGAAAAAGATGATACTGACTATGGGTATGAAAAACTTAAAAAAAAAAAAAAAAAAAAGGAAAAGGAAAAATGGGGGGTGCTCTTGCAATCATTGTCCTTAAGACTTCTCGGCATTCTAAGATGCCTGTTCTTGGAACATGGAGCCATGTTCTGCTTCAGATCCCTCTATGCACCAGAAACAGTGGAGCCGGCTTTTTGCTCTGGAGCTCCTTTTCCCACTGCAGGCCATTTGCTTGTTCAACTTCCCTTCAAAATACATCTCCAGGGTCTTTACCAACTCTAAGAAGTTAACGTATATAGCAAATAGTCCTGAAGGGGAACAAAGATTGGAACTCCTCCAACTTGTGGTTGGGAAAGCAGAGAAAAAATGAAAAGATACAAAAAAAATCAGTTAGTTATGGACAGAGATACAATTATGGTCAAGGGCTCCTTTTTCTTTCTCACAATCACCCTCTAGAGTAGAAGCCCTCAAACTTACCAGTAACTTATTATCAGACTCACCAAAGAGCTTCTGAATGATAGAAATCCAAGTTCAGTCCTGAATAGTGGCTGACTCAGTAGGTCTAGATAGGGTCTAGCATTTACATTTGAAAGCCAGCTTTGAATCACTGCTTGCTCACCTTTGCTATGAATAAGGAATGTGAGTTTTGGGTGGTGGCTCTGACTAAAAAGCCATATCCTAAAAGAAAATGCTACACTGACAGAAGACAGAAAGCTCAAAAAGGACTGTGAGAGTCACACACGCCTACCTTTTTGGCCTGTAAGTCAACAGCAGCCACACACTCAGGCGTGTTGTTTCGGGAGTTGTTCACCATGGGAGAGACTGGGTGGAAGGCGATGTTTTCTGTGGGGTGGATTAGCTTCAGAGCTTCCTGAGTGGAGACCTCACCAAAATCAAGCCATTTAGAGACTGCCTCCTCTCCATCTAATATGGCAGGCATCCTAGCCAGTGAGGTCAAAACATTGGTTAGAAGAGAGAGAATGAAGGTAGGGAGTGAGACTTTAGTTGAGAGCACAAATCATCCCAAGGAGAAGCTCGCCCTGCCTCTGTGCCTTACGTGCTGATTGTTGCCATGTGCTCCTTGACCACAACTTGACAGAGCACGAAATTCAACACCAGGAGAGCCATCTTATAAAGTTTTATGGCAATGACAGGGAACAGTAATTATGACTGGACCCACTGCACTGCAGTGTACACATTAGCAAACTGGTGACTTTTCTATGATGGCCCAGCCTACAATTAAAGGAGAAACAGGTCCTGAAAAACTTGTCTATCAATAATAATCTCCAGTCCTACAACCTATGACAGATTTACGGTCAGAAAGACCTATGCACATAATTGTGAACAAAAGGAAGCTATGCCTCAGGAAGCAAAGAGGCTAAGAGCCATGATCCTGGTACCCAGGAAGATGCTAGGACAAAATCCTTTGTTTAGCTTCCAGTTTTATGTCCTAGGCCAACGCAAAGCATGGAATACATGTCCTTGGTGGGTGGCATAGTTGATTTTAGGCGATAAATGCATAAATATCTACTTCACAATAACTCATAAGCTGCAACTCTTCCAACACATACTTTCACAAGCAAACTATGGGTCTTTTTAAGGTAAAGTACCATTATTTATTGTAGTATTTATGTATTTTGAAATCACCTAATACATAAAACTGTGGTAATTTTTAATAGATTTCTATTTTATTAATGTGTCACTGACAAAGTTTTTAAGTGGAGCCCTCGTAACCCCTTTTCCCATAAAGTCTGTCATTTTCATTATACAATTTTGAATAATATGGTGACTTTTAGGAATGCATGTCATGTTATAGCCAAACTGACTATAATTATATTGGTGAGCAACTGTCCTGGTTTCCTACTGTCTGATTTGTGCATATAGCCAGGCTGGCATAGCTCAGGAAATCACAGTTCAATTCCCAGTAAGGGTACATGCCCCGGGTGTGGGCTTGATCCCCAGTGTGGGATGTGCAGAAAGCAGCTGATCAATGATTATCTCATATTGATATCTCTATTTCTCTGAAAACAATAAAAATATATTTGAAAACAAGGAAAAAAAAAGAATAAGGACCTGGGTACCACAGCATTTAAAAAATAAGTAAATAAATAAACGTGTACATACAGCAACTTTAAATTTCAAAAGCTCCCTATCTAAAAACAAAGAGAACACACCCTTCCCTGAATCCTCCTGGACCCAGGGATAAGTATGACTTGCCTATGGTGGATGTCATTCAAGCCTTTGCAGGAGTCCACTGTGATGATGGTGTAGGAATACAGGCAGTCTCCTCCCTGTGGTGGCTTCCAGCAGTCAAAGATCCCAGCCATTGTTAGTAGCCTCCAGTTGTCCCAAACTTTCTCCCTGTCCTCAGGGCTATCTGCAGCATCAATACTGCCCGACTGGAAACAAAATACATGGGCAGATCAGATACTCACCAGCCTTCTTTTACATGCAAGCTGGGTACTACTACAGACTTAAGAGCATCGCAATCATTTTGGAAGTCGTTTAGCACATACCTTATTAACTCAAAGGAAAGAGGATTGGTGGCAAATACTCACCAAAGCTATAAATTTATGGTTATTTCAATGCTTTCAGAATAGAATTTAATTCCTTCATTAGGCATTCTGGCCTTCTAGTCCATCATGCCAGCTTTCGCTTACAATGTTAATCTGAACCAAACCAAACTGTTTGTAAAGAAGCTATCATATCCTTTTGTTCCCACTGTCTTCAGAAACAACCTTCCCCTGCCCAAAACGTCCCTCCCACCTTTCTTATCGTGCCAGCTCCTACTTGCCATTTAAGATTCAGGTCAAGGCCTGGAATACAGGAAACTAAAAAGAGTGTCAACTTCACCTTAAATAATAAGAAAAAAGGCTAGATAATAGACCAAATCATAACTTTTCTTCAATTCATTAGAGAATTGAGGTCACATGGCAACCAATTAGCTTAAACTTCATAGAAAGACAGGAATCTCTGTGGGGAGATGAGACACAAGCACTGGCTTACCAGTGGCAACAGGAGGAAGGCAAGTCCTTCATACAGCAGATATGAAATGAGATAAAATTATTATCAAACTGCTATATGCAGAGTGTGGATTGGCCTGAGAGTACATGATCCCTGAGAGCTATAGACATCAGGATATTTGCATCAGTTTGCATTTTTTTTAATTTTATTAATTTCATTGATTTCAGAGAGGAAGGGAGAGGAATAGAGAGATAGAAACATCAATGATGAGGGAGAATCACTGATTGGCTGCCTCCTCCACACCCCCCTACTGGGTTAGAGCCTGAAACCAAGGCAAGTGCCCTTGACAGGAATCAAACCTGGGACCCTTCAGTCTGCAAGCCAATGCTCTATCCACAAGCCAAACCAGCCGGGGCTTGCATATTCTTCTCCACAGACCAGCCTGGGTGCTCACAGGAAAGACGGGGAGCAGGTCAGACGACTGGAGAAAGACTTTCCTGCTGGTGCATGCCTGCAGGAGGGGAGCTCTCCTGCTTCAGGACAGGCATAAAGCTTTACCTGATCACTCTTCCTCTGAGGAATAAAATCCTTAAGGAGTCAGGGGGAAGGGTAATAAACCTGATCACTCTTAAGATACAGGTAAGGATTCATGGAGGCTGGAGGATAAAAGAAAAAAAACCCAAACCCTCTACTTCTCTGGGGAAGGAACAAGCTCCCTGAGGAAGGCTGAGCCTGGGAGCTAGTGGCACAGTTCTGCCTAAGAGTGAGACTGAATGAATGAAGACAACAGAGAACACTCCCCTCCCCTTCAGAGAGGCAGTACCAAGTGACAAGCGACAGCAGTCTAATTCTGGGTAAGGGACAGAGCATGGGGAGACCCTCTCTAGGCACAGGCTCAGAGGGAAATATAACAGCTGAAGGGAGCAGAGCTATTGAGAAAAATCCTCTGGAAAATCAACTCTTACTCTAAACACAAGGTGAGACCAAAAATTTTTAAAACCAGTGGTGAACAAAGGCAATCATAACAACAAATTTCAAACCCAGTTCAGCGGACGAGATCCACTCAATCTCACATGGTAATGGCCTAATAGAAGGATAAGTGTATCCATTTCCAGGCATAAATATTATTTATCTCAGTTTCTATGTTACATACTATGGCAATCAATGAAAATTTACAAGACACAACCCTGGCCAGGCACTCAGTTGGTTGGAGCATCGCTGTGATACACCAAGGTTGCCAGTTTGATCCCTTCACCAACCAAAGAAGGCATAAATAAGTAGAAAACAAATTGATGTTTCTCCCCCTCCCCCCAATAAATTAATCAATAAAAATTAGCCCTGAGATGTGACTTAGTTGGTCAGAGTGTCCTCCTGTGCACCCAAGGGTCACAGGTTAGATTCCCAGTCAGGGACATGCCCAGGTTTTGGGTTCAATCCCTTTTGGGGGTGCATATGGGAGGCAACCAATTAATGTTTCTCTCTGCCCCCTCTCCCTTCCTCTCTCTCCAAAATCAATGAAATGGCCGAAACTGGTTTGGCACAGTGGATAGAGCGTCAGCCTGCAGACTGGAAGGACCCGGGTTCGATTCCAGTCAAGGGCATGTACCTCGGTTGCAGGCACATCCCCAGTAGGGGGTGTGCAAGAGGCAGCTGGTCGATGGTTCTCTCTCATCGACATTTTAAAATATTTAAAAAAAATTTTCTAAAAATAGTGGTGATGGTTGCACAACTTTAAATATATTCAAAAATCAGACTTGCGTCCTGACTGGTTTGGCTGAGTGGATAGAGTGTCAGCCTGTGGACTGAAGAGTCCCAGGTTCGATTCCAGTCAAGGGCAAGTACCTTGGTTGCAGGCACATCCCCAGGAGGGGATATTTTATTGATTACCTTTGTTCTATCCACCCTATCTGGAATGTCAGTAGGGGGTGCACAGGAGGCAGCTGATCAATGTTTCTCTCTCATGGCTATTCCTAATTCTCTATCCTTCTCTCTTCCTCTCTGTAAAAAATCAAAATATATTAAACATTAAAAAAAAATCAGACTTGCATAATTTTAAAAAGTGAATTATATCTCAATAAAGCTATTATTTTAAAAAATTACTCTACGAAGGCCCTGTCCAGGTAGCTCAGTTGGTTAGGGCATTATCCTGTCAATGATGATGGTTCAATCCTCTGTCAGGGCATATGTAGGAGTCAACCAATGAATGCATAAATAAGTAAAATACCAACTTTATGTTTTTCTCTCAAAATCAATAAAATAAAACACTCTGTAAGGGAAGGAAAAAATGTCCCTCTTTAGATTAGTTCTCTGGGTCTTTCTAAATGATGCTGCTGCTGATACCTTTTCTGTTTTGATTTGGGGGAAGTAGATGAAGTATGGCTGCCTCTGGCTCGTGTACTGACTTCGCTGCCACTCGTAGAATCCATCTGCCAGGACAACACAGCGTCTTCCCTTTCCCAGAGGCACCTGAGGGAAAGCGTGAGCAAGATATGGTCTTAGTGATAGGATCACATTGCATGGAATTGAGCTAAAATCTTATGTCTGCCTGGCGGTGTGGCTCAGTAGTTGATCATCAACCCAGGAACCAAAGAGGTCACTGGTTCCGATTCCCATTCAGGGCACATGCCAGGTGGCAGGTTCGATCCCCCGTAGTGGGGTGTGCAGTAGGCAGCTGATTAATGATGTATCTCTTTTATCTCATTTATGTTTCTATCTCTCTATCCCTCTCCCTTCTTTTCTCTCTAAAAATAAAGAGTATATACATTAAAAAAAAAATCTTGGGTCTTATTGTTTTGGTTTTTTTAAAAAAATATTTTATTTATTTTATTTTATTTTTTTAAATATATTTTATTGATTTTATACAGAGAGGAAGAGAGAGGGAGATAGAGAGTTAGAAACATCGATGAGAGAGAATCATCGATCAGCTGCCTCTTGCACACCCACTACTGGGGATGTGCCCGCAACCAAGGTACATGCCCTTGACCGGAATCGAACTCGGGGCCCTTCAGTCCCCAAGATGACGCTCTATCCATTGAGCCAAATCGGTCCCGGCTTGGGTCTTATTGTTAGCCAGTTTGGCTCAGTGGATAGAACATCAGCCTAAGGACTGAAGCATCTGGGGTTCAATTCTGATCAAGGACATATGCAGGCTCAGTGGGGGTTGTGTAGGAGGCAGCCAAATAGTGAGTCTCTCTCATCAGTGATGTTTCTGTCTCTCTCTCCCTCTTCCCTTCCTCTCTGAAATCAATAAAAATATATTTAATAAAAATAAAAATAATAATCTTGGATCTACTAATGCATCATCTTAGAGTAGTTATTTCTCTGTACCTCAGTTTTCACATGTATAAAGTCACCCTCACTCAGACGTTGAAAAGATTAAATGTACACAACAGCAATAGCTCTCTAACAAATAGGCACTTGTGGTAGCTGATCTCCAAAGTTGGTTCCCCAAAGAACTACGCATCCCAGTATTCTTCTCCCATGGGGCAATAGAGTGCCATAGAAGTGATGCTATGACTTCCAAGGCCACAAAATCCTGCAGCTCCTGCCCTACTGTCTTGAATCATGAGCTTTGGTAAGCCTGATGCCATGTAAGAAGCCTGACTACCCGGAAAACCCCAGCTGGGCACGTGGAAGGCTTTCAGTTGTTCTATCCACCCTAACTGGGGTGTCAGACATGTGGGTAAAGAAGCTCTCTTAGCCCTAACCAGTTTGGCTCAGTGGATAGAGTATTGGCCTGTGGACTGAAGGGTCCCGGTTTGACTCCCGGTTGGGGGAACATGCCCGGGTTGCAGGCTCGATCCCAATAGGGGACATGCAGGAGGTAGCCAATCCATGATTCTCTCTCATCACTGATGTTTCTCTCTCGTGCTCTCTCTTCCTTTCTGAAAAAATAAAATTAAAAAATAAACTATCAGATATCTAGCCCCAGTTGTCATCTGATTATAACTACACAAGTGAAACTTGAGCTCCACTTGAGCCCAGTCAACCCACAGAATATAAGAAATAATATAGTAGATTTGTTAAGCCTAAGTTACAGTAGATTTGGCATGGTTTGTTACACAGTAATAATAAAACAGTATTCAGAGAGGGACCTTAAGAGAGGTTCCACAGAGAACCTCATTTTACTTTTCAGGTGCCTAAGGCACTGATAGCTCTGTTCCTAAAAAGTACCTTTCCCTAGATGAGGTACCTACCTTGAAGGACAGTTTCTCCATCATGGTATCACTACGGCAGTTGCTCATGTTGAACTGCAGTTTGGAAGGATCATCTTCTTTGAACCAAGATGGGACCAAGCCCCATCGCATAGGAGCAATGACACGCTCAGATGAGTCTGCACCCTGCCAAAGGTTAATAAGATTCAGTGAGATCATAATAAAATTTTAAAAACCAAGTTTTAGCATATGCATTACATTACTATTAGTATCAAAATACAAAGAATAGAGAAAAGAGCCGAAACCAGTTTGGCTCAGAGGATAAGCATCGGCCTGCGGACTGAAAGGTCCCGGGTTCGATTCCGGTCAAGGACATGTACCTTGGTTGTGGGCACATTCCCAGTGGGAGGTGTGCAGGAGGCAGCTGATCGATGACTCTCTCTCATCGATGTTTCTAACTCTCTATCCCTCTCTCTTCCTCTCTGTAAAAAAAAAAAAGAAAAAAGAATAGAGAAAAGATTAAAAGGGAAAGATTCTACTTGAAAACAATTTTAGTAATTTATCATAATGTAACTTGTGTTCTTTAACAATTATATTTATGGGAATATAAGACATTCTGCTTGGGTAGAATAAGGGACATAAAGAGATTCTGTTCCTACAAACATGTAATTAGTGCCTATCAAGGAATGTATTTAGTTTGTCCCCTTACAAAAAGAGAACATAAGGAAGTAAGCACACAAAATTTTCCAGATTTCTACTTATGTCTTTTCCCCTAACTGATACTATTGTGTATCTTCTCAATATGCACAATTGTGCATATGTGGAACAAGAAGTAATAAAGCTTGGCCACTATATGCCTTATATGTTGAGTCCCTCTAAAAATTTCCAAATGTGCCGGGACCGGTTTGGCTCAATGGATAGAGCGTCGGCTTGGGGACTGAAGGGTCCCGGGTTCGATTCCGGTCAGGGGCATGTACCTTGGTTGTGGGCACATCTCCAGTGGGGGGTGTGCAAGAGGCAGCTGATCGATGACTCTCTCTCATCGATGTTTCTAACTATCTCTCTCCCTTCCTCTCTGTACAAAATCAATAAAATATATATTTTTTTAAAAATAAAAAAATAAAAATTTCCAAATGTGAAGGTAGTTTTGGCCCCCAACAAATGGCTTTTATACTTTTTTTTTTTTTTGCATTTGGCCCTTGAGAATTTGATAAAATTTACAGATTGAAGTGCACATACACACTATTCTGCACAGCATAGTACACACGGAAGAAACCAGTGGTAGAGTATGTATGTTTGGTGCTACTACAATAGTCCAGGGATCTGATGATAAGGATACAGTAGCTCTGGTGACAGTAGTGAAAATAAAAGACATCTAAAAGATGGATGATTAAGTTTTCAGTCCCTGACGACTGAAATAATGATGCCAATATTGAACAAAAATTCTGAAGGGTTTGATTTGGGGAAAGGTCACATGTTGAGTTTCTGATAATAGTGGCAAGTCTAGATGTGGCAGTTTAAATAAAAGGTTGAAAAATATTTACCCTTTTCCCCCTTAAGAGCTGGAGTCTATGTTCCCTTCCCTTGAATCTGAATGGGCTGTGACTCGCAGGGTGTGGCACAAGTAATACTGTGATTTCTAAGGTTCAGTCAGGAAGTCAGCTTCCTGCTTATTTGCTGCGATGCTGCTTTTGGAACTGAGCGGCCATGCTGTGAAAAAGCACAGGCTGTGTGGACAGACCACATGGAGGTGCTCTGGCTGGCAGCACAGGTAAGCAGCCAACATCACTGCCAGGTAAGGACTGAAGATGCCCCTAGATCAGAAGTTTGTAAACTTTTTCTTTTAAATAAAAGGCCAGATATTAAATACTTGTCAGGTTAGAGAGTCTCTGTCTCAATTATAACTGCTGTTATAGGGACAAAGCATTTATAGACAACAAATGGATATTGCTATATTCCATATAATTTCATTACAAAAATGATCAGAGGGCTTTAGTTTTCTAACTCCTGCTCTCGATGATTCTAGCCCCAGATTCCAAGTCTTTTCAGCTGAGACTCCAGACTTCAGGGAAGTGACAAACAATATCTGCAATGCTTTGTCTTAATTTCTCACTAGTGAACATAATAAAGGTTATTTTGGCCCTGGCTGAGTAGCTTAGTTAGTTGAGAGTGTTGTCCTGATATGCCAAGGTTCCATCCCCAGTCAGGGCACACACAAGAAGCAACCAATAAATGCATATGTGGAACAAGAAGTAGATGTCTGTCTATCTGTCTCTCTCTCTCTCAAATCATTTTTTAAATAATTCAAGATTATTTTAATTCACTAGAATAAGATTCAAATAGAGCTATTTACCATGTCCAAAAAGCATGTAGAATTAAACTTAGGAGAGAGGCAGCATGATAGAGAAAATGGGTCACCAAACTCTTTCTGTAATGGGCTAGATAGCAAATATTTTTGGCTTTGTGAGTTCATATAGTCGTTGCAATGACTCAAGCAACTAAACTCTGTCTCCATTGGTAGTGAGAAAACAGCCAGCCAAGACTGGTTTGGCTCAATGGATAGAGCGTCGGCTTGAAGGGTCCCGGGTTCGATTCCGGTCAAGGGCATGTACCTTGGTTGTGGGCATATTCCCAGTAGGGGGTGTGCAAGAGGCAGCTGATCGATGACTCTCCCTCATCGATGTTTCTCTCTATCTCTCTCCCTTCCTCTCTGTACAAAATCAATAAAATATATATTTTAAAAAAAAAGAGAGAGGGAAAACAGCCAAACAACAAATGAATGAGCTTGGATCTGATCTAATAAAACGTTATTTGCAAAAACAGGTAGTGAGCCAGATTTGGTCTGAGGACCATAGTTAGCCAAGCTCTGGTACAGAGGAAAAAGTAAGGCCTTTGTAAGACTCAGATTAAAAAATTTCTTCACCGCTACTTACGAACTTGGACTACTTTCAATTTCCTGGACCCTCAACTTTCCTTTTCTGTCAAAACAGAGCGAACAATACATGCCTTGGAGAACCATTAAAATGTATGGCATGGAATACACGTACAAATTGCAGTGTAGTATTTTTTTAGGTCAGAATTATAAAGGTGACTTAAAGCCATCAGGATAAAATTTCTAAGGGAGTAAATAAAGTGAAGGATTTAACCTGGAGGTATAAATAGAGAAAAGGAGAAATGAGGGGAAAGTAGAGTCCAAGAAAAAGTGCCTAGAGAGAAAAAAAGCAGAATGAGGAAAGTCAAAAAAGGACTCATCAGTAGTGGTGTCTCCGAATTAACCCTTCCACTGTGCTCTTGATAAGATCCTGTCCTGTTTCTTTCAAAATCTTGTCTGAGCAGTCAATCCCTGTCTATACCCATCCTCCATTCTCATTAATCACTACAGGTTCCACAACACTGCTCATACCCCGAGTCAGCAAACACCCATCTGCATCTGCTGGTCTTAGGGGAAATGCAGGGCTTGTTTCCCATGAGCCAATGGAGACAATATTTTCATCACCTGATTAATATGCCACCTTGTTTAATGTGTATTTCTATTTAAAGACACTATTGCATATATTGTTGATTTTTTAATGTTGAATTAATGACCAACAGCACAGTAAATTATGCTGGATTAAGCTTATTTAACACATGTATTTTCTCTGTAAGGCATATTACAATCTTCTTACACTTGAAAATACTAGCCAGCAAGCACTCCAGGACTGTGCCTGGGAACAGTTTTAAACAGTGCATAAAACATAACACTAAATGGACTGCAAGAAGGACACTTGTTTATAGCATAAGAAGTGAAACAAGAAGGTAGAGCTACACACACACACACACACACACACACACACACACACACACACGAAGGTAGAACTTCATTTTTTGTTTGTTTTTTAAGAGCTTTGTCTTATTCAATCAGGTGACTCAAAATTTCACCACCTGTATTGTCCATGAATGATAAATATATCCATGTTTAAAAGTAACAGTATATTTAGAGGTCTATAAATACATTTTAGCAAGTAGGCAAATTTGCACACACAGAGTTTATAAATGAGAATCGTGTGTGTGTGTGTGTGTTTGTGTGTGTGTGTTTTCCTCCCGTAAAGACAGGGGCAGCCTAGGTAGATTGTGTGGACCCCAAGAAAGAAGATATCTACCAGGAAAGGCTCCCAGTGGCTGAGTTCAGATTTAAAAAACGGGGCCTAGCAGCCATTCTACACAGGGGCCTTTCACACAAACTTCACTTGAGAGAGAAGCCCCGGCTAAGCTGCCTGCCTGTGTTTTGCCATTTGAGCCAATCCTCATGAAGGAGTACCTGGAGCCTCAGCCTCTGACTGAAGGGTCCCAGGTTCAATTCCAGTCAGGGGCACATGCCCAGGTGCAGGCTCAATCCCCAATAGGGGCATGCAAGAGAAAGCTAATTAATGATTCGCTCTCATCATTGATGTTTCTATCTCTCTCCCTCTCCCTTCCTCTCTGAATTCAATTAAAAATATATATATTTTTTATTTTATTATTTATTTATTTATTTATTTATTTAAATATATTTTATTGATTTTACACAGAGAGGAATTGAGAGGGACAGAGAGTTAGAAACATCGATGAGAGAGAATCATCGATCAGCTGCCTCTTGCACACCCCCTACTGGGGATGTGCCCGCAACCAAGGTACATGCCCTTGACCGGAATCGAACCTGGGACCTTTCAGTCCGCAGGCCGACGCTCTATCCACTGAGCCAAGCCGGTCCCGGCTAAAAATATATATATATTTTAAAAAGGAGTACCTGGAATCCTATTTTTAAAAAAATACATATTTTATTGATTTTGTACAGAGAGGAAGGGAGAGAGATATCGAGTTAGAAACATCGACGAGAGAGAGTCATCGATCAGCTGCCTCTTGCACACCTCCTACTGGAGATGTGCCCACAACCAAGGTACATACCCTTGACCGGAATCGAACCCGGGACCCTTCAGTCCCCAAGCCAACGCTCTATCCATTGAGCCAAACCGGTCTCGGCTGGAATCCTATTTTCAACCAATCAGACTGAGGATTTCCCTAACGAGTGTGTTCATTGGGTAATTGTAAATCAAACCCAAACGTGAGGCAGCCCTCTATGAGAACAATGAATAAAAAGTGGCTCAGTTGATTGAGCACTATCCCGTGCACCAGGAGGGCGATGGTTTGGTTCGTGGTCAGGGCACATGCCTGGGTTGTGGGCTCCATCCCCAATAGGGGACATGCAAAAGATCAACAGATGTTTCTTTCCCATTCATGCTTCTATATCTCCCCTCCCTTCCTCTCTCTAAAATCAATAAAAACATTAAAAAAAAAAAAAAAAGTAGCTGCAAAGTCAAAATACTGAAAATATTGCTCAGTATTACTCATCTTTCCTCTACATTTTTGGACTTGTGACCAGAACAACTTGTAACCCTGATGTAGGCAAATGAAAGAGGAAGTAATTTGCAAACCAGTGGTTTCAAATGTAAATGTTGCAATCTATACATATGTACTGGCCGTTGATGATACGGATTAAATAAACTGCTGAAATGATTCTAATTTTACTTTACAATTTACAGGTTTGAGAAAAAGAAAACCTCAACTATTTATCAATTAGGAAAGCCTAGCAATCCTTTTTTTTTTTTTTTTTTTAATATATTTTATTGATTTTTTACAGAGAGGAAGGGAGAGAGATAGAGTGCTAGAAACGTCGATGAGAGAGAAACATCAACCAGCTGCCTCTTGCACACCCTCTACCAGAGATGTGCCCACAACCAACGTACATGCCCCTGACTGGAATCGAACCCAGGACCTTTCAGTCTGCAGACAGACGCTCTACCACTGAGCTAAACCAGTTTCGGCGAAAGCCTAGCAATCTTAATAAAATTTATTAGAGATGTGGAGTCAAAACACTACATCAATAAGCAAATTCATACCACGGACAGAAAAGGAGGTCTCAACTTGCTTGGGCCTCCATGTTCCCCATTCCCAGTTCCTTCCGGGAAGCATTTCCTCAAGTGGGGTCAGTGGTGAACCTTAGTCCCAGCTGTATCCATCACTAACTGGGTAACCTCAGACAAGTCACAATCTTCCTACACTTCTGCCTTTACATCTGTTTAACAAAATTATTCTTCCAGCTAACACTCATTCTATAATTCTAAAGAGGTAGTGTACACACACACACACACACACACACACACACACAAAAAAAAAAAAAAAAAAAAAAAAACCCTGTTGAAACCGGTTTGGCTCAGTGGATAGAGCGTCGGCCTGCGGACTGAAGGGTCCCAGGTTCAACTCCGGTCAAGGGCATGTACATTGGTTGCGGGCACATCCCCAGTGGGAGGTGTGCAGGAGGCAGCTGATTGATGTTTCTCATTGGTGTTTCTAACTCTCTATCCCCCTCTCTTTCTCTCTGTAAAAAATCAATAAATTTGCCGAAACCGGTTTGGCTCAGTGGATAGAGCGTCAGTCTGCGGACTGAAAGATCCCAGGTTCGACTCTGGTCAAGGGCATGTACCTTGGTTGCGGGCACATCCCCAGTAGGGGGTGTGCAAGAGGCAGCTGATAGATGATTCTCTCTCATGGATGTTTCTAACTCTCTATCCCTCTTCCTCTCTGTAAAAAATCAATAAAATATATATTTTTTAAATCAATACATTTTTAAAAAACACCCACAAAGCTGAAAAAGTCTCATACACTTAATTCTTCTCTCTTTTCACTTCAAATTATACCTTCTTTTAAAACATGTTTTATCTCCCAGTCAAGGTTCATTTTATTTTGATTATCCTCTCATTTAAAAAAAAGCTTCCTTAAATGGTTTCCTAGAGGAAGGGAGAGGAAGAGACAGACAGAAACATCAATGATGAGAGAATTATTGATCAGCTGCCTCCTACATGCCCCTCACTGGGGATCAAGCCTGTAACCCCAGCATATACCCGTCAGGAAATCGAACATGACCTTCTAATTCATAGGTCGATGCTCAACCACTGAACCATACCAGCTGGGTAAGAATAAACTATTTTATGTAAATGGCTTCATTCAATCAAAAAGATAAATGTTATTAGGTTATTTCAAAATAGTGTGATCCCTATAATGTAGAGATGAGTCTTTCTTGACTACCATATTATCACAAGAGTTCTGAAGAGTATGTAGCACTGGTATAATCAGCTTGATAAAGTGATTTAAGCATTATGGATCAAACAGAAAAAAAATCCAGCATGAAGCCAAAACCAGTTTGGCTCAGTGGATGGAGTGTCAGTCTTCGGACTGAGGGCTTCCAGGTTCGATTCCGGTCAAGGGCATGTACACTGGTTGTGAGTACATCCCCGGTGGGGAGGGTGCAGGAGACAGCTGGTCGATGTTTCTCTCTCATCAATGTTTCTAGCTCTCTGTCGCTCTCCCTTCCTCTCTATGAAAAATCAATAAAATGTATTTTTTTAAAGACCAGCATGGAAATAATCATGTTTTTAAAACATATCAAGGATATTTAATATTTAAATTAAAAAACCTAAGACAGAGAAACTATTAACTTCTGGAATGAAGCATTTTTATCACATGCATGCTTATAATAAGAATAAAGCAAAGAACAAAAACACGATTATAAATTATTGGTCACTCCAACACTACAATAGGTGAATACTATAGACACAATGAATGCAACTAGACTTCAGATAACCAAACCAAATACATCTAGCTTCAATAAAAGATAACATAAAAAGACTGATAACACAAGCAGAGAGAACAGAAACTTCAATGTTCAAGAAACATCGGAGGTGTTTTAAATTAGCTAATCTTAATCCTGCCTTAGGCCTAGAGATTCTGACTCAACATGACTGATAAGGGGCATGGAAACCTTATGATTATTTAAAAAGGAAAAACATTAAGTATCTATTTATGGAATTCTGAGAGGAAGGGAAAAGGAGAGAGAAGCATCAATGAGAATCATTGATCAGCTGCCTCCTGAGCCACACCAGTCGAGCAAAGAAACAAAGCTTTTAAATCCTCATCTGAGGATATGTTTGTTGATTTTAGAGAGGAAGGGAGAGAGGGAGAAAGAGAGAAACATCCATTGGTTGCTTCCCATGCGTTCCCCTACTGTGGACTGAACCAGCAACCTAGGTATGTGCCCTAAGAATCAAATCTGCAACCTTTTTGACATATGGTAGATGCTCCAACCCACTGAGCCACCCAGCCGAGGACTTTTTATAAAAAAATTTTTTTTAAGATACTCAAATGACCCTGATTTTCAGTGTGGTTGGAAAGATGCTGTCTTTAAACATGTATTCAAATACAAGGCTCATGTAAATTGGACATGCACTAAGAGTAGTATGCCTTGTATAAGGAAGGCTCTTAAATTGAGCCTGAAGAATATGAATCATCTTGCAAGACTCAAAGGGTACCAACAGAACTCCTATCGGTGAGACCAGAGGGTTCTCAACCCGGAGTCAAATAAAGGCTGGCTTTTAAATATCATCTCAGAGACTGAGCATCCCCCAAACCAAATACAGCTAACCCTGAACAACACAGGTGTTACCTGCGTGAGTCCACTTATCTGCAAATTAGTTTCAATAAATACTGTAAATGTACTTTCCTTACAATTTTCTTAATAGCATTTTATTTTCTCTGGCTTGCTGTATTTTAAGTAATAGATGTAACATGCAAAAATATTTTAATCTACTGTTTACGTCAGGAGCAAGGCTCCCAGTCAAGTGTAGGCTGTTAACTAAAGTTTTCGGAGAGTCGGAAATTATATGCAGATTTCCAGGCTTTTGCAGGGCTGGAGGTGGGGGTTATTGGCGACCCTAACACCCCCCTCCACCCCCCCAATAGTTCAAAGATCGACTGTGAAGCCAACACGACGCAGACAAAGCGTTACCTTCTCGAAGTGGAGGCGGGACAGCAGCACGGGGCCGTCGGACTGCGGGCTCTTGTTGTAGGAGGGCCGGTACTTGTCGGGGTCCCTCCACTCGGGGAGCCGGTGCTGGCCCCGCCGGTCCCGGTAGGCGCAGGCCCGGGTGAGCGCGTCCCGGGGCAGGTGGCAGGACGTGCGCCCGCACATCCCGCTTCTCAGCCTCAGCCTGCAAACCAGCCTGCAAAGCCAACGCCGGGGTCCGGGCGCCGCCCCTCCGCCGGGCGCCGGCCTCCCTCCTTCCCTCTCCCTCCAGGATGGACTGGGCCCCCGCCTCCCCTCCCCGAGGGCGGCCGGGCCCGGGCCCAGCCCTGCGGTCAGTACCCGAACCAGCCTCTTCCCGCCGTGGCTCCCGCTCCCGCTCCCGCCAGCAGGGACCCGGCCACACGGCCCGCGCCCCGGCGTCCAGGCGGCCCAACACGGCGCCACCTGCCCGTCCCTCCACGTCGGGGCACCTCCTCCGCCCCCCGCCCCCTCCCATCCCCGTCTCCCTCCCACCTCACCTACCCCTTCCCCTCCGGCCGCCTCACCCGCACCGCCGCCCGCACCGCCTCACTGGCTGGGCCCGGCCTCCGTCGCTGCCCAGCGCAGCCCGCTCTCGGCGCTCCGGCCCCGCTCACACTCCCGCCGCCCGGGCCCCGCCCACTGACGCACCAGCCCCGCCCCACGGGGAGGTGGCCCCGGGCGCCCCAATTCCGGCCGACCGGGCTCTTCCCCACCTCCCCTCCCCTCGAGACAAGGGGGCCCCTGGAACCTAAGCTCCAAAGTGCCCGGGAGACCAAGGTTGCCTTCGGGCCCTCGAGCTCTTGGAGATGGACTTTCCTCCACGTTGGATCCGCAGCACCAGGCTCCCCCGCAGCGCCGGCAGAGACCCTAGCAAGGTCCCGGGGAGCCTGCGGTGCCCTGGGTGTAGCGGAACCCTAACTCTAGGGCCCCGGTCTTTAGAGGGGTAAAATCAGGAAGTATTTTTTCTTTTTTTAAAAAATATATTTTATTGATTTTGTACAGAGAAGAAGGGAGAGAGATAGTTAGAAACATCGATGTGAGAGAGTCATCGATCAGTTGCCTCTTGCATACCCCCCACTGGGGATGTGCCCGCAACCAAGGTACATGCCCTTGACCGGAATCGAACCTGGGACCTTTCAGTCCCCAGGCCGACGCTCTATCCATTGAGCCAAACCGGTGTCGGCAGGAATTATTTTCTTTACTTCACAGTCCTAGTAACTGACTCAAAGTTTGGGGCAAAAGTGTAAACTTTCAAGAATCACACAAGTCACTCACTTCAGTGGGCTCTGGAATGCACCTTTCCAAGGCCCTCACCTTCACCCCATCTGAATCTCTAAGGGGGAGAGCCTGGATTTCTTTTTAAAAATATTCTTCTTGATTTCAGAGAGGAAGGGAGAGGGAGAAACATCGGAGTCCTTGATTGGCTGCCTCCTGCACGCCCCACACTGGGGATCCAGCCAGCAGTCCTGCTGGGAATGAGGGGGAATCCAAAGGTAACCTCCTGGTTCACAGGTCAGCGCTCAATCCCTGAGTCAGGTGGGCTGGGCTCAAGATTTTTCAATTGATTATTTACAGAAGGGAGAGGGAGAAACACTAATAAGGTGAGACCAATAAACATGGATGGGCTGCCTCTTGCACGCCCCCAACCAGGGATCTAGCAGCAACCAGGGCATGTGCCCTGACCAGGAATCAAAACAACCAACTTTTGGTGCAAGGGATGATACTCAACCAAGGCCCCTTTTCGTCCATAGCCACACCAACCAGAGCTGTCCTGGATTTTTAAAAATGGGCTTTGCAAATATATTTCAGTCACAAAGTTGCTAAACCAACTGGCTTGAGTTTACAAATGCAACTAAGGTAGCCTCTGAGCCTGCTCCCTTGAGACATAAACCAGGGATTTCTGCCTCCAGAGCTAATAAGAGTGTGCTCACTCCAGGCTGTTTTTCCTTTCTGTGCATTCCCTGAATTAGACTAAAGTGGGAGCAGGCAGACCCCAGCACACACTTCAGATGTTAGGAATACCCAGGTCATCCATCCAAAACCCTCAGGGGCCTCCATCCATCACCCAGAAAAAGAAGGTGGTTGTGAAAATGCAAAAAATAAGTGTGTGAACTCAAAGCCTGTCAGCTGGTATCATTCCCTCAGTGAACCAGCACTGCACCTGCTCCTGAGAGTGAGGCTTGGACAGAGATGAGTAGGAGAGGGTCCCGCCTCATGGTAAAAACAGCAGCCAAAAGTCTGTGGATGCAAAGAGGGCCGAGTAGGTGTTCTTGGTAGTAGGGAGGCCCAGAAGGGAAAAGTGGAGCCCCTTAAGCATGAGTCAGCAAGAAGCAGCAGTCATTCAATAAATACATACTGATTTATTTATAGGGATAAGCTGGTTTCTTTGGGGATAAATTCAAGAGATGCAAGCATTTTATTAATTTGTGATATCCTTCCTTGGCAGGCAGGGCAGCAAGTTCTAGGATAAACTACTAAAATGATCCTTAAAAAAAACAAAAAGTTACCCCCTAACAGTCCTGGGGCAAAAGTAAAATAAAAAAATAAAACCCCACCCCAATGATTCCTAGTTGTTTTTGAATACAGAAGCTTAGGACGGAGTTTCCACTGGATATACGAGGAAGGTGCAACTTCTGCGTAGTGTTGGGGGCCAAGAGTGGGAGCAGGACCTCAGCCAACAGATGCCAAGATGATGTCTACTGGCAGCTCCTCGGAACTTCTGGCTGTCACCTGCATTGTTACCGTGTCCAAAAGCAGCAGCCGGGAGCGCACAAGGATGTCATGTCCACCCCGGAACACACCTGGAAGGTAAGAGAAACACAGGCGTGTAAGGCAGAGGGGGACGCAGAGGCTATGCTGAGGTGGCATTGGCAACAACTGATCAAGGCCGCCCTGGGGTAGTGAAGTGGGAGTAGGGTTGGGACCAGAAAACTGGACTGAAATGCCCGAGTGACACCTTGCACACATCACTTAACCTCTCCGAGCTATGGTATCCTCAACCAGAAAGTGGAGGAAATAATACTAACCATATTTTAAATTTCTGTCAAGATCAAGTGAATTAACGGACATAGTCTCTCACATATCACAGAGTCTCTCACATATGTTGGCTGAATCTAAGAGCACAGATGAAGGGACAGCCCCGCTGTGACAAAACCGCAGAGCAGGTGTCTGCAAGACCCATGGGACTGGGTTGCTTCACTGTGGCCGGAAACATGGGCTTGGGGCTGTCAACTGTGAGCAGGGCACTGAAGCAGAGCTACTGTTTATAAACACTCAGAAAAAAAAAAAAAAAAAAAAAAAACTCCAATTTCCTTTTGTTTTGTTCGTTGTTTTAGGTGTGATAATTGAATTATTCCACCTCCCCCCTTTAAAAAAAGGATCGTTATTTTTTTTTAAGATACAGGAAGATTTACATACATAAAGATATAACTGTAATCTGCTTTACAATACTCGGACAAGGGAGACATGGTAGGGATACAGATGCTATAGTTGTTGAAACTGGAAGAAGAGCACATAGGTGTTCATTATACCATTCTTTTTTTTTTCTTTCTTTTTTTTAATATTTCTATGATGAATGCTTAAAATCCCATTCCTATTAGAAAATTAGGCAAAGAATATGAAAATGATTCATAAAACAGAAAATAAATACAAATGGCACTTCACATTTGAGAAGAAACTTAATGTCATTGAATTTGCAAGAAATGTAAAATAAAACTACACCAAGTTATACATTTTCCATCCAGACTGGCAAAGGTCATAACATAGATAACACAATGCATCAGAGTGTGGAAAGAAAGGCATACAATTTCTATGAAAAGTAATTGGAAATATTTATCAAAATGAGAAATGCACTTTGACCTCAGTGCACACAAGCCAAATAAAGTATGTGGGTGTACTCATGTGCATGTGTGATTATTCACTTTAACAATGTAATAACAAACACTGGAACATTCTAAATATCCATCAATATAGGCTGGTTCTATAAAATATGGTATTTCCACACAATGAAATTTGAGGCAGCTACCAAAAAAGAATGAGGTTCAAACAAGTTCTGAAGATGGATGGTGATAATTGCACAATAATATGAATGTACTTAATGCCACTGGACTGTACACTTAAAAATGAATAAAATGGTGAATTTTATGTATATATTTTACCATAATATGAAAAAGAAAATGAGGAAACTGTATTGATAGGGAAGATTTCCAAGATGCACTCTTAAGTAAAAAGTAAAAACATATGGCCCTAGCTCGTTTGGCTCAGGGGATAGAAAGTCAGCCAGCAGACTGAAGGGTCCCGGGTTTGATTCCAATCAAGGGCACATGCCTAGGTGGCAGGCTCCATCTCCAGTAGGGGGCGTGTAGGAGGCAGCTGATCAATGATTATCTCTTATTACTGACTAGAGGTCATGACATTTGTGCACTGGGCCAGGGGCAGGGAGGGGTTCCCCCAGCCTGGCCTGCACCCTCTCGCAGTCCAGGACCCCTCAGGGGATGTTTGCCTGCCGGCTTAGGGGAATTGGGCCTAAGCCAGCAGGCAGACATCCCTCTCACTGTCCAGGGCTGTCATAGTCCAGGGCCCTTGCAGTCCAGGACCTCTCACTCCTTACTGGCCCTGCAGTAGAGGCTCCCACCACTGCTGCATTTCCCATCCAGGAGCCTGGCTTCTAGCTGAGCTGCACTTCCTCTGTGGGAGCACACTGACCACTAGGGGGAAGCTCCTGCATTGAGCGTCTCCCCCCTGGTGGTCAGTGCATGTCATAGCAACAAGTCAATGGACCGTTCCGTCTATTTGCATATTAACCCTTTATTATATAGGATGTTTCTATCTCCCCCTCCTAAAATCAATTATTTATATTTATATATATATACACACATATATATATATAAAGTAAAACCATGCTGACATAAACATTTAAATTAAAAAAGGGAAATATGTACATATTAGCTTTTATATCCATAAAATCACTGAAAGACATCATACTGGCATTGTTTGTAATAGTAACAATGGTTGCCTATTGGAAGGGAACTGGAAGACTGGCAGCAAAGGTCGGGATGGAGACTTTTCACTGCAGGTCTTCTTTTTACTTTGTGAGTTTTCGTCCCTGGGATTCCAGTGGGAGCCCACAGCCCAAGATGCTGTGGCATCCAGGCTACAAGATACCCAGGCCCTTCCCAACTGGAAATGCTGCTTACCGGCCAGGAGTAATGTGTGGGTGTTCTTGTTATCCGGCACTTTGTCTGACCTCTCACAAGGGTGCATTCCCAGGAATTTCACAATATTTCCCACAGCCTCTGTAGGGAGAAATGCTAGTATCATTAAGCCACATATCTTTTTTATTTTTTATTTCATTTTTAATTAGTTTCCATTCAATACTATTTTCTATTTGTTAAGCCAGATAATTTGTCTCCCTCTTGTGCCTCCACAGCTTCCCCATCCCCTACCCCTACTCTGAAAAGCTTTTAATAAAGTGGCATCTGAAGTATGTGCTGTAGAGATGGCTCTGATCCCTGGGGGCATAGGTGCAGGGGGCAAATATGAGGAGTACTTCAACAGTAAGTAGCCAAGGATTTTACCTTCAAGTGTCTTGGTGGTAGACAAGGTGAATGTTTCCTCCTTCTCAAACTCATCCCCTACCTCATCCCAGGCTGCTTCAAAGTTCAGCTTCATGACCTTTTGGATGTGATCAGCTATAGTGACTTCCAGATCTTCCAGCTGGGAAGAGGGGGGTTAAATGTTAGGTACACACCTCCAATAGAGTGTCTTTTTTTTTTTTTTTTTTCTTCTTTTTTTATAAAATATATTTTATTGATTTTTGTACAGAGAGGAAGGGAGAGAGAGAGTTAGAAACATCGATGAGAGAGAGTCATCGATCAGCTGCCTCTTGCACATCTCCTACTGGGGATATGCCCGCAACCAAGGTACATGCCCTTGACCGGAATCGAACCCGGGTCCCTTCAGTCCCCAAGCTGACGCTCTATCCACTGAGCCAAACCGGTTTCGGCCAATAGAGTGTCCTTGCTTGGCACTGGGCCTCTGCTCTGAACTCACTGCTCACTCTTCCTGCAACACACTGAGTAGTTACTTCCTAGGTGCTGAACACTGTGCTAGGCTCTGGGGATACACAGCAACTTGACCAGGTATCTGTCCTCAGTCCTCACAGCCAAGTATTCCCCTGGAAAATACCCTGACAAAGTACTCACTTGAGGGTGTTAGCTGCAAGATCAAATATCTTTTGAAGCCTGCCTAGAATCAGTGCCTCAAAGATCTAGGGACTATGTAGGAGAGTGCTCATAGAGATCTGAACGTCACTCCTAATAGTCAGGAGGTACTCTCCTTTACTTCAGCTGTGTCCTCTGGGCCTGACTATGTCTCAATCTTAGTTGTGTCCTCCCTGAACATGTCACATAATTATCCCCTGCACCTAATTGTACAGACTTCCCATTTATTCATCCAACAGATCTCCACCAAGCCCTCTTCTTCAAATGTTCAAGGTGTGCTTAAGTAGGATTCAGCTCCTACAGTAAAAGCAATGTCAGACCCAGCTCTCCCAAGGAGCTCAGTTGGCCAAGGGCAGTTCCTGCCCACGGGGTCATTGCTGGCTCAGGAAAGGCCTTTCCTCAACAATGATTCTAAGATGATACAACACAACAGTGATGTCAGATGTATTCCACAGTGACAGGCCCTCTAGTTATAAGGAACTTTAACACTCTCCATTCCCAAACTGGGCATCATGGTCTATAATCAGGTGGTACTGAGCCACTGTTCCATGGTCAAAGCCCAGAATGATTCCATTCAACCTCAGAAAGATATAATTGGAAGGGCTGTGGGTAATGTTTGTTTAGTCTTTGTTTTTATATTTTCCAAGTTGTAGTTATTTTACTCATGAGCATGCATTTTTTTCCCTTCACATTAAAAACAGTTTCTTTCAAAGAGAACTGTAAAGCTCAAAACAGCAAGAATCTGCCGAGACCGGTTTGGCTCAATGGATAGAGCGTCGGCTTGGGGACTGAAGGGTCCCGGGTTCGATTCCGGTCAAGGGCATGTACCTTGGTTGCGGGCATATCTCCAGTAGGGGGTGTGCAAGAGGCAGCTGATCGATGACTCTCTCATCGATGTTTCTAACTCTCTATCTCTCTCCCTTCCTCTCTGTATAAAATCAATAAAATATATTTTTAAAAAAAAACACAAAAAAAAAACAGCAAGAATCTGCTTCAAGTCTGGTTGTCAGTTTCTAGGGGCGGGGGAGTTATTCTCAGCTCAGGCACCAACAGCCTCCTGATTCTATCTTCTTACCACATATTCATCTTCATAGCCTTCATCGTCTGTCTCCCCAGTGGTGGGATCGCAGTCCTTTACAGTGAACTTCATCATGCAGCTGAATGTGCAGGCCACTGTGAGAAAGAAAGGCTGTGGTCAGGATGTCCCTAGCCACTACAGGGAAGAGATGGCCACCGCCAGCTCTCTAGGCCTTTGCCACGTTATCAGTAGTGGCAACATGCTACCCAGCCCCACAAATCTGGACAGAAGGCACCACCTTGTTGAAGGGCAGGAGAGTTAAGTCATGAGTTTAAGGAGTCCCTTTGTGGGGAAGGGAAAAGGGGAAAGCAGAAATGGATGCTATGTCTACATAATAGCAATAGGTCTACTGTCCGAGGCCTGGAAAAGAAGCTGGTGGCTTCCTTGGGAAGAGTGGATTTGGGATGTTTTAGTGTTTGTGCCTGTCTCTACTCTTTCATGGTATAATGAAAGAATACTGTTTTGAGGACCAAATAAATCTGGTTTTAGCCCCTTATCAGCTATTTGAACTTAGATAAGCCACTTAACCCCAATCCCAGTTTCCTCATCTATGAACAGGGATGGCAATACTATCTCCATAGGCCTCTATAAGGAGGGAATTTAAAGAACCCAGACTTAGCCATTCTTCTCAGGACTGAAATCAGAGAGCTGAAGCTCAATAAGAGACAAATGGTCAGCACACAAGCTGCCCATCCCATTCTGATCCTGAGACCAGGCTGGTATCTGGAGAGGGGCTCACCAGCTGTGGGGTCTTCCTTGGGTAGTGCCACCAGCGTGTAGCAGGTCCCAGGCTGATTGTAGGGTAGGCTCCCGGCAGGCACATAACACAGCACCTCATAGCCCTCAGTGGGCTCCATCTGCACTGTGACATTCTCCAAGGTCTGGTCATTGAGTGTGTTTGTGCAGTCAAACTGGATTAGGAAGGAAGAGGGGGTTACTTAGACACTGCTCTAGGTCTAGTACAAAAGTCAGGAAATTCTACCTCTCACTCAGGGGCCAAGCTGACTCCCTTCCCAGTCACCCTGCTCAGGTTCTTGTCTCCATGCTGACAGTCAGGAGTCAGAAAGGTTCTGGGTCGAGGGTGCAAGAGACCAGTTGGTGACAGGCGCAGTCATTCAGTTGGGTCACAAATAACTCAGTATGGGGAAGCCATTACCCGACAGCATCCATCAAATCTGGGACCACTCCATGGTCTCAGGAGGCTTTAGCTGGACCTCAGCCCTCTCTGCTCACCTGGAACACCATGTGGTTGGTGAAGGTGTGCTTGGTGCAGTGGATGACATATTCTGTCTCGGACTCGGTGAGGGCCACAGGCTCAGGCGAGGACTTGAAGAGGGGCCCCAGCCCCTGGAATTCTGGCACTGCTGCCAACTGCTCTGAAAAACACAGGCCACACGTTTACTCAGCTTCTCAATTCCCAGACTAACTTGTGATGGTTTCTAATAAATGCTCACGCCCAATTCGTAAGGTCTTCCATCCTACTGAGATCGGTGGATATGTACACACAACTATTTTCTATTTCCTAAACATACTGACATATTTTCTCATCTCCCTAGCTTTGCTCAGTTGTCCCACCCACAAAAGATCTCAGAAGCAACGAACTGACTAAGAGACCTCAATGTTCTAGGCAAAATCTATTTGGTGACTCACCCCACCCTCAACATTAGAAGCTCACCAAAGATTCTTTTTTTTTTTTAAATATATTTTATTGATTTTGTACAGAGAGGAAGGGAGAGAGATAGAGAGTTAGAAACATCGATGAGAGAGAGTCATCGATCAGCTGCCTCTTGTACACCCCCTACTGGGGATATGCCCGCAATCAAGGTACATGCCCTTGACCGGAATCGAACCCAGGACCTTTCAGTCCCCAAGCCGACGCTCTATCCATTGAGCCAAACCGGTTTCGGCTCACCAAAGATTCTTAAAAGAAGATGAAAGTAGCCGAAACCGGTGTGGCTCAATGGATAGAGCGTCGGCTTGGGGACTGAAAGGTCCCGGGTTCGATTCCGGTCAAGGGCATGTACCTTGGTTGCGGGCATATCCCCAGTAGGGGGTGTGCAAGAGGCAGCTGATCGATGACTCTCTCCCATCGATGATTCTAACTCTCTATCTCTCTCTCTTCCTCTCTATACAAAATCAATAAAATATATATATTTAAAAAAAAAAAAAAAAAAAAAAAAAAAGAAGATGAAAGTAGGAAAGTACTAAGAGGATTAGATGAATGCTGTTATAGCAATGGAATCTGGTCCTATATGTTGGTCAGTTAACACAAATGGCCAATAAAAATTGTTTCATTGTACACCTGAAACTATTCTAATATTTTAGGTTAACTATAATTGAAAAATACATTAAAAAATAAAAATAAAAAAAGATGTTTCAGATTCTGCCCTAGCCAATTTGGCTCAGAGGATATAGCATAGGCCTGCAGACTAAAGGGTCCCAGGTTCGATTTCAGCCAAGGGCACATGCCCGGGTTGCAGGCTCAATCCCCAGTGTGGGGGATGCAGGAGGCAGCTAATCAATGATTCTCTCTCATCACTGATGTTTCTATCTCTCTCCCTCTCCCTTCCTCTCTGAAATCAATACAAATGTATTTTTTTAAAAACAACTCCAATTCCTTGACCCATCCCAAATATGCTTTATCAGAATCTCTGGGTTTGGGACCCAGGAATCTGAATTTCTAGCAAGTTCCTAAGACTTCAACTCATCTCTCCAATTAAATTCATCTCTTCAGGGACAGGAATTGTACCCGGAGGCCAGGGATCTGATATTTTGCCCTGCACTTAGTAGGTACTCAATTCTGTTTCAGGAATAGAGACAGAAAGTAGGCATTATTGCTATTATTTTGCTTCCTCCTCACCACAAAGAGTCTACGTGATTGCTTCAGTCCTCTGCAGCCTAAAAGACCATTATCTAAGAAATGTGCAGGCAACAGGACCCAGGCCACTGCTAGAACTTGGCTGTGGGGTATAGGGGTAGGCCTTACTAGATACCCAGAAACAGTCAGCTTACATTTTAGGAACTTTTAGGCTTTCATGATCATCAGCCACCAGAATATTTTTCTGTGGGAATTCATTTCCCTGGGCCTTAAGGTTCTAGAACTGGTACTTACCAGCTGGGGGATTTTGCTTCCAGCTATCAGTTAATGTTTCTGAGTGTCAGTGTCTTCACCAATAAAATAGATACAATCTTTCTCACAGGGTTGTTGTGACAGGCAGCTCTAAGCCAGTTTTATTTGGATCTGAATGTCAGCTCCTTCACACCTTGGGCAAATTACTCTCTCCGAACTTCCAATTCCACAAATTCCAAGTGGACCTAATATCTTCCACATGAAGACCAATGTACTGTCTAAAATACTCTCAGAGCTCAGCATCAGGACAGACCCATAAATGAGAGTTTTTACTCTGAATTCCCCGGAGCAGGACAGCCACTCCAAAGCTGAGGAGATGGAGCCTTGCTCCTATGAGCCCCACCGAGCACTGTTACTCACCCTGGAAGATCTCCAGCCGGGTGGCTGCCACTTTCTCAGGCTGCTTAGCTGCTGTGATGGGGGTGCTTTCTGCAGGAGAAAATACAATGGTGATCAACAACTCCACGAATGGAGCACTGTGGTGTTGAGCAGTGCTGTTATTTAGAGATTACAATTTTCTGAGTGTGTAATATAAAACGTGAGAAAGAGAGCAAGTGTGTGTGTGAATGTGTGTGTGCATATGTGTCCATTTCCTGAAGCCAGACACAAAAAGGATTATCCCCTTCTCCCAGCACAACCCCATCCATCCTGGTTACGTTTAATGGCTTCATGGTCAATGAAAACCCTCCAATGGAGGTGTGAACCTTAGGGCCTCTGAAAAGAGTACAGGTGTTACTTACCTGTTCTTTGCTCTGCCATGGGTGCGGTGGCCAGGGGCACAGACTTGAGGTCAAAAGGTTTTTCTGATGGTTCTAGAGTATACTGCTGTAGAGCCCTCTCCAAACCAGGGATGGACACGGTCAAACCTAGAGGCCAGTGAGAGAGAGGTCACTCTGCTTGGAAGAAATAACAAGCACAGGAATCCCCCATGGAAAACTGAGACCCTGGGATCAAGGCTGTATGACCCTGAGAAAGCCACCTAATTCTCTGAGCCTCTACTTCTTCCTCCAGTACCCCCTTGACAGGATTGGTGTGGGGAATAAATATACATCCAGCAGGGACTGATAAACAATAAAGCACTACACAAACGGTTTTTAAATTAATGATCAGTGTTTCAATTCACTGGGCTGTTTCCACCCACACTGGATAAACCACAGGACCGAGGTCCCCTGGGATCAGAGGCATGCCATGAAGTTGCCATGAAAGTTTAGGAAATTCTTGCCTCAGATTATCCCTGCCCAGAGTAATGAAAAGTAATGACCCCCTGGTAGGGGGTCAAAGACAGACCAGGAAAGGCTCACCATTTAGGATGTAGCTTGCATTGAGGGCCTTCTGCTTCTGCTCCAGGACATTGAGATAGAAGGTGGCTCGGTCCCTGACTTCATTGTCATCATCCATCACACACCTGCCGCCAGAACACAAGGTACTTCTGAATAAGGGGTAACAGGATGGATACTAAAAGGCTTCATCAAAGAATGGCAAGAGAAAGCTGGTCTCTTAAAGCTCTGAGAGCACAGTCCCCAGATGTGATATCTAGCCATCAAACCCACAAAGGGACCCACAAAACTCTTATCAGGAGGTCACATATTCATATTCCCTGGGTTCTCGCCTAAAGCCAACCCAGTAGGGAGGCAATGAATCTCCTGTATTCAAGAGCATATGTAAAAAAAAAATTAAGCCAAAACTGGTTTGGCTCAATGAATAGAGCATTGGCCTGGGGACTGAAAGGTCCCGGGTTCGATTCCGGTCAAGGGCATGTACCTTGGTTGCAGGCATATCCCCAGTAGGGGTGTGCAGGAGGCAGCTGATCTGATTGATGACTCTCTCTCATCGATGTTTCTCTCTATCTCTCTCCCTTCCTCTCTGTACAAAATTAATAAAATATATTTTTTTTAAAAATTAATATGACCCTGCAATTTCACTCCTAGTTATATCCTCAAGAAAACTTAAAACATATGTCCACACAAAAATTTGTATAGGAATGCTCCTGGGAGCAATATTCACAAGAGACAAAAAGTAGAAACAACTCAAATGCACATGAACTGATGAATGGATAAATAAAATGTGGTACAGCCAAACAATGAAATATTAGTCAATAAAAAGGAATGAAGTATCGGTCTATGCTGAAACATGGATGAACCTTGAAAATATCTTGAAGAACCCAGACACAAAAAAGACAACAAATTTACCACCCCTCCCTTTTACAGTTAAAGAAACAAAGGAAAGTTGTCTGAGCCTGAGGGAACTCTGTCATCCGTCAGGACCCTCTTGCACAGACTCACCTCTTCAGCAACACCAAGATACTGGGTAACATCTCTTCGTTCTGGGCTCCAAACTTGGCCAGAGCACTCACAGCACCTGTGTTTATGAAGCACATAAAATATACCTGATACACCAGAGCCAACACAAGTGACTCTGGGTGGATCTTAGCATCAACCAGCCTCAATTTCCTCATCGAGAAGTCAGTCCCAATCTAGGGTTCCAATAGCCATTTTCAGCATTAATTATGATGAGGCCCCAGGAGCTGGCCAATGTCAGGCTTCTCAATTTATGCACCCAAGTGGCCTAATTCAGTTAAGCATTAGATTAATATCAATGAGAAAATGAACTATTACTTCATGATTACCAATAGGAGAAAGAGAAAAATCTATCCAGTGGGCATGAGGAGAAAAGAGTAGTAAATTAAAATAAATAATATAACATTTGTGCAATTAATAGCACACTTATTTAAAAGAGGAATTTTATGGTATGTGAATTATATCTCAAAGCTATTGTTAAAAAGAATAAAGTTAAACACGAATATAAAGAGAGGAAAAAAATCAATAAAACAAATAGAGAGATTAAGAACCATTCAATTAGATGACCTCTAAGCGTCTAAGGTCCTTCTACAATATTATAAAAAACTGAGTTTGTGAGCCAAAAACACCAAGTGCCCTGTTCCCATTGGGGGCTCAGGTCCCTTTATAAGAGCAGCCTAGTTAAGAACAAGCTAAGAGTCAATGTTCAGCCCTATCTCAGACCTACCTGCCCGGACCTCCTCATGCTCCAGGACCACTCGGTTATAAATAAAGCGAATGTACTTGGAGGGGTTGTTGGTCTTGGGCCCCTCCTGGCCCAGGAGATGCAGGATGCGGGTGGCCAAAACAGTGAATTCGCAGTCCTCGATGAATTCGCACAGGTGTGACAGTCCTGTCTCCTTGCTCTCTGAGTTCTCCTCAATGATGCTGATGATGCAGTCCACAATGGCCCGCTTATACTCAAAGCCACCCTGCAGTGGGAGGGGTCAAGCTGAACAAGGAGGCTGCTGGCTCCAGAATGAGCTGTGAGGCTCAGAGCCTAACCAGGATCAAAAACAGAATCTTTTTGTGTAAAACAAAAGACCTGGACTGAATGTTTGCTGGGGCCCTTCCAGTTCTAACCATATTTGGTTTAATTAAAACATGTTGAGTCTTATTTTCTTCCTAACTTTGACATAAAAAGCAAAATGGGTTGTTATGGCAAACACTTTGGTAGTTCCTCAAAATATTAAAGAAAACAGACTTGCCATATTATCCCAGTTCCATGTCTGGACATATGCCCCAAATAACTGAAAGCAAGGTCTTGAAGAAATGTTTGTATACCCATGTTCATAGCAGCATTAATTACGAGAGCCAAGAGGTGGAAACAATCCAGACATCCACTGACAGATGAATGAATAAACAAAATGTGGTCTATATGCACAATGGAATATTATTCAGCCTTAAAAAGTAAGAAAATTCTACTCCTGGCCAGGGAGCTCAGTTGTTAGAGAATCATCCCAATATGCCAGGGTTGAGGGTTGGATTTCCAGTCAGGGCACATACAAGAATCAACCAATGAATGCATAAATAAGTGGAACAACAAATCAATGTTTCTCTCTCTCCCTCTCTCTAATCAATAAATAAAAAAAAAGATATGTCTTTATTTTTTTATTTTTTTTTAATATATTTTATTGATTTTGTACAGAGAGGAAATGAGAGAGATAGAGAGTTAGAAACATCGATGAGAGAGTCATCGATCAGCTGCCTCTTGCACACCCCCTACTGGGGATATGCCCACAACCAAGGTACATGCCCTTGACCGGAATCGAACCCAGGTCCCTTCAGTCCCCAAGCCGACGCTCTATCCATTGAGCCAAACCGGTCTCGGCAAGATATGTCTTTAAAAACAAAAATAAACATAGACAATTCTGACACATGCTACAATATGGTATAACCTTGAGGACATTATGCTCAATGAAATAAGCCCATCAGAGAATGACAAATACTACTTGATTCCACTTATATGAACTCAAATTCATAAAGAAAGTAAATTGGTGGTTGCCAGAGGCTGGGGGGCAGAAAATGAGGAGTTGATATTTAATGGGTAAAGAGTTTCAGTTTTACAAGATGAAAAAGAGATGTTGCATAACAATTTGAATATATTTAATACTGATCTATACACTTAAAACAGTTAAGATAATAAATTTTGTCGTGCGTATTTTAACCACAATTTTTTTTTTTAAAGGCAAAATGGGGCAGTGGAGAATCAGAAGATCCTTGATCAAATTTATATTCCGCTACTTACAGACTTTAATGACAAAGGTGGCAAATGAGATGCCTACAGATACCAGGATGTAACCTGGCAACATGAAGCAGACTAAATGGGAATGGTGGGGCAAAGGACAGTGCCTGTCCCATCCAACAAAGGAAATCACCACTCAGCCTAGCATTATGCCAGATCCGACAATTTTTGGGGGCGAAAACCGGAAATCTGTTATGGTGGTGGTGGCAGTGTTTTCCTGATTTTTTAATAATGGCTAGTAATCTGAAATGTTTAAAACTTTTACAATCTAAGTAAAACTTACCTGTGGATCAAATCAGGCCCCTGTTCTCAGATTTGTACAGCTCAATAAGATTGTCATATGAGTAGGTACACTGTAAACCTTCAAGCACTATTATCATTATCACCTCTACAGCTAGTCAGTCAGCCTGGTGGGCAGCAAGCTAAGAGTAGGTGCATCCAGATTGTGCTGGCAGCTGCTCTTACTAGAGAATGACAAGCCTCGCTGCAGAAAGCTAGAAACAGATCCGTTTCTATGAGACAAGGTCTCCCTGTCTAAGTGCTGCAACCTGATAAGTGAACCTCTTACATTCAATTTCATATGGACCCATGAATTCTTCTAGGAGAAAAGGAGATCCGGAAGAAAATCATGGGCTTTTTAATCAGATAGATCTGGGCTTAGACATGTATTGGTCAAGTGACCACAGGCAGGTTACTTCATTTCTCTGAGTCTCAAATCCCTGACTTTTAAAAAGAAAAAGTAATGTCAATGGACAAGATCTGTTGTGAGGGTCACAAGATGGTGTATACTGTGTAGTGTCTCCAAAGTGCTGGGCCCATTAGCTACAGGCTCCCTCAGCGTTAGTGCTCTCCTCCCTTCCAATACCCTTGGGAACCCCAAAGACCCCGAAGGCAATGGCTTCTCTACTGCCTTGGTCCAAGGGCCTCTCTGGGACTGGGGCAAAGGAGCATCAAATATCTGGGGACCAAATCTACTCCACAAACACTTTGCTTCTGCTCCTCTGAGTTAATCGTCTTTGTTGACATATCCAAGGTGGGGTAAGTAAATCGCTAACTCATGTCAGAATAAAGAGGACAAATGTCACAATATCAGCATAGGTTTCACCAGAAACCACCCCATGGAGTTCCTAGAATGGTCCAGGATGCTTCTTCACTAGCTACCAGTAGGAAACATGTTTTCCCATTATCTACAAGCACTGCTTCAGGACATGTACTGTTTAAAGTCAGGGTACTAAATCTTTATAGTTATTACTGCAATTACTAGTAATTACTACACGTTTATCTGTTGGTTCATGAGGAGTTTAAAGGGCCACAGGAACCAGAAAATCTACCCAGCTAACAGTTGGATCTGGGTTTACCCAAATGACATGGAGGCAGCAGCCAAGTTGCTCCCAGCACCAGGAGCTCTGGCATGCCCTGAATGCATCTTACTCTTACCTCTTCACGCAGCATGGAAAACAGGAAGTTCATGAGGACAGCATGCTTGCGAGGATACTTCTGACACAGGGCACTGATGGCCTGGACAACTACCACCTGAGTCAAACAGACATGCATAAGCAGAAGCCTCCTGCCACCAAGGTGGAGTTACTTAGTTCACTAATTGTCAATGAAGTCCCTCCTTAAGCAAAGCCAGACCTGGGAAGTGACACAGGGCAGGGAAACGAGGAACTCCATCCCCACCCACCCTCAGGGAACATGCAGTCCCTGAACCCATCCAGGGAAGGATAGCAGGCAGACAGTCCCAACAGTCCCAGACCCATACTCTTGGGCCCCAAACTCTGCTTTGCTACTCAGACCTCATGGTAAGTTTATGAGTCCCCTCTCCATCTCAGTTGTCTTGCTTCTCTTCCTACTGCTCCCTCACCCCCATTCCTTTGAGATTCCCCCAATCAGCTTTTCTGATTCCTCTTTGGGTACTCTGTCTCCTGTCCTCTCCTCTCCTCTTCAGCAATCTTATCTCCTTCCATAGTTTTAACTACATCTTCTATGCCACTGGCTCTCAGATCTTTGTCTCTTGTCTGAGCTCAGTGTTTCCAAATGTCTACTAGATAACTCCACCTCGTACCCACAAACACAACACATCTACAGTAATCCATCACTATCTTCCTTTCCTTTATCCAAGACATAACCTTCTCCCTCCTTCTTCCTTCTCCCTCAGTCAATGGCCCCACCATCAACCCACACTCGAAAACAGCATCATCCTTGACAGCATTAACTCCCTCGGTCCTCACACCTTGTCCTGTCAACTGGCTATACAAAGGAACAGTGTAGACAAACACCAGAGACAGGATTGTGTGCATCTCCCACGGCCAGACCCCGTGAACGGTTAGTTATGTACCGGCCTTCTCCACTGAATCCTTAAGCCTGAACAGTCCCTCAGGTCAATCCTGGCCCAGTGGCTAGGGAACATGGAGTGGGAACACAGAGCACCTTCCTGATTCTGGGGAATATGGAAGTTCCCTAGGTGCCCTGGGTACCTTGAATTCATCTGAGATCTCTGACATGAAAGAGGAGATCTGCTTCATGAGGCGGTCAATGCTGCTCTCGCTGCCAGTCTTGAGCAGAGTGGTGATGGCTAGTGTAGCAATGCTGCGATTCGAATCTGTGACAAGGTTCTCTAGGTCTAGATTACAGGCTGTCACTGCTGATGGATGCTTCATGGCAACCTATTTTTGAAGAAAGATAGAGGACAAGGAAAGAGATTTAACAAAAAAAAATAGGACTTGTCATCCCAATGGATGGGTCTAGTCAGAGTTCCTTTGGATGAACTCATCTCACCACCTGATAGAAAGTGACTGTGACCAGGGATACATACATCCAGGTAAGGTCAGGGACGTGGAAATACCTCCAGCTGGATCAGGTTACCTCCCGTGACCCTCTCAGAAGGCCAGGTCCCCCTTGTATCTGTCTTGGACCCTTACCTTATTGAGGGTACGGACAGCAGCATAGCGGAGAGCGGCCTTGGGTGAGCTGCAGAAGAGCTGGAGCACTGTGGGGAGACAGATGCCATGTGCCAGGCTGCTCTCACTGCTGGGCAGCTGGAAAAACCCAGGTAGGCCTCCAGGAAAGGGGCAGGAATAGGGCATCGAGAGCATGCAAGGGCTCTGAGGTCGTTCAGACCCAAACCCTCTGCTTCAGCTCATTTCCCTGCTAGCACCCCCACCTCAACCACGGAAGCAATTTCTCTTCCTGGATACTGAAGCCATGAGCACAGAGGCCATACTATGTATGCACTTGAGAGCCCAATGGGTCCCATGAACGACGTGAGTGGCTGTTTACTGAGCACCTGCTGTGTGCCAGGCACTGTGCTGGAGCTGCCATGCCTGTGGTGGTGATTCCTCACAGCCTTATGAAGCAGCTACGGTTGTCCCCATTTAACAGGAAGGAAAATGAGGCACAAAGGGGTAAAGCACCTGAAGTAAGTCTAGGTTAGCAGTAAGCAAATGGCAGGACCAGGGCTGACATGGATGACTGCCTGCACCTGAATGAAGTCTGAGCTGTGGACCCCTGTGCAGTAGAACCCCATCCCGCTCTCCTGGAGCACACACACAGACCAACAGCACTTCCTCACTCCTGGCTTACACAACGGCCTTCGTTCCTCTACTGGCAGAGGCATGTCAGGCACCATTTCCCTTCCTGTGCCTTAGTTGTCAGGAAGCTCAGGGCTCAATTCTGCACTTGAGGTAGTAGTAAACATGACTGCTGTTTTCTGAGGTAACCATGTTCTTTTCTATTACTTGACTTTATTTTGAAGGCTCTGTCCTATGTATGTGTTTCATTATTCTGGAAATATGGGAAATACAATAAGAATGAACGAATACTTAAATCAGTGAAGAAATTCCTTTGGTCCTTCTATTTTCGTCTCCAAGAAGAAAGAGACTTATCTCTCCAAATATGAACCCCATCTCTCTACCTGGCCAGCTTATAACATTATTATGACCATTAAAAAAACAGGTCCTTCATTCCAAAAGGCTGCCTTAACATGTTGACTTTTATTGAGTTTGTCCTTCTAGAACACTCTCCCCTCCCTGAATCTGTGTTTAGCAATCCTAGGAACATCTCCTTTTCTAAACTCTTAACATACCAACTTTCCAGTAATTAGCACATCACATGTGCATTCTTTTTTTTTTCTCTTTTTTTAAAATATATTTTATTGATTTTTTTACAGAGAAGAAGGCAGAGAGATAGAGAGCCAGAAACGTAGATGAGAAAGAAACATCAACCAGCCGCCTCCTGCACATCCCCTACCGGAGATGTGCCCACAGCCAACGTACATGCCCTTGACCGGAATCGAACGTGGGACCTTTTAGTCCACAGATCGACGCTCTACCACTGAGCCAAACCGGTTTCGGCACATGTGCATTCTTAATACAGTGAGATCACAACACCTAGACCCGGACCTGTACAAATAAAGCAATGGATGCTCAGACTAGATCTGAAACAATCCAAGGCGAGTGGATTCTCCTTAATAGCAGCAAAGAGCACTTTCTCTGTTGTCACCATGGTGGCTAAGCACTTTCCAAAGCCATTTGTATAGATCACACAAATTTACTGCCTACTGTAATCTTATGTAACAGGCACAGTTACTATCCACATTCCAGAGAAGATGAAGCATGGAGAAGACAGATGACTTGCCCAGGCTCTCAGTTGCTAAGGGCAAAGACACTTAGTGGCTATCAGGCCCTACCCTCTGAATTGCTTTCTCCTTTACCTGAGACAGCTCAGCCCTTAGGAAGCATGCACTGCTTTCATAATTCCTGGTTTCCTCCACCAGACCCTCCTGCATGGCTAGCCAGCCCGACACGCTGTAGCACAGATTTGAACCTCACCTATGGCACTATCAGAACCAGTCTCTTTAATGGTAAAATGGAACTAAAATAAGGTGACCAGACATCCCGATTTTTAACAATTTGTCCCGCGTCCTGCGGCGTTTTAAAAAAGTCCTGATTTTTGGAAAGATTCATTGAGTACAGATTCTTTCCAAAAATCAGGGCTTTTTTTAAACGCCACGGGACGCGGGACAAATTGTTAAAAATCGGGACTGTCCTGCCAAAAGCGGGACGTCTGGTTACCTTAAACTAAAAGCCCCATCCCCCAAAGATAACACATGTGAGAGGCGCCAGTAGAGTACCTAGCACAGAGCAGGTGCTTACTGGGTACTAATTCCTTTTCTTAACATTAGACCTTGGCCTATTCGAGGGCATTTTCTTTCTTCCCCTGACTCCCCGCCCAGAGCCTAGTTCCCAGGAGGCACAAATGTGTAAAGCTCGAAGGAGGAATGCTGGTAACCTGACACAGCTGGGGCCAGCTCTTTGGCACTGCAGCCTGGCAGATTGACAATGGCGGAGGCGGCCTCGTAGACCACCATCTCATGCTTGTTGCGTAAGCAGCTCTCGATGAAGTCAAACAGTGGGCTGTCACGGCTACAAAAGAACACAGGCAGTAAGAAGGTGGAAATGGCCTGGCATGGTAGGTTGAATGAGGCATCATCTAGTGAGGGGAGACAAGGGCCATTACCTGCTGTCCTCCTCCTCCAGCTGCTTGCTGGCCACCCGGATCATCATGCAGTAGGCAAAGGGAGACTTGAGGCCGTGCCGCGTGAACTTGCTAATCATTTTACTGACAGCCAGGCGGTCATTCTTACGTACATGGTATAGGAGCCCCAGTGCATGGTACTAGAGGACAGAAGATAGCAGCTGAGTACTAGCTGTGTGGCCTGGGGCAGGCCTCTGCATCTCTCTGGGCTTCAGCTTTCTTATTTTTTAAAATGGGCATCGTAATGGCTGTGACAAGTCCTCCAAACGGTCTGTCTAGCTAGCTCCTGACACAGTGTGTCTGTAGTTATTGTTCCTGCCCCTGGTTCTGGCCAGGGCTCTGACAGGCATCATTGAGTACAGATGTGAAGGGGACAACAGATGCCACAGAGATGAAAGAATGGGAAGAAACCCAGTGTCTTTAGATGGAGGAGGGAGCTGGGCCCTGAGCATGGACAAAGGTAGATAAGTAAGTAGATACTCTTAGACCAATGACTTGCCCAAGGACTCATGGTTGGTACTGGCAAAGATCTAGAGGACCTGAAATTCAGGGACTCCATTCTAGAGATGCACGGTGAACAAAGTTATTTCCTATCCCTTCTGCTCTTTTCTGTTTCCTTAGCATTCAAATGCTAAGAAGCTTCTCTGACCCTGGGAAGTGTTTTGAGATGACCCTGGAGATGAGAATCAGTGCAAAAGGTGAAGAGAAAGAGAAGAGAGAAATATACAGAGACTGTACAGGTATGCGCCAGAAGTGTCAGGTATTTATAGATGTTGTCCTATTTTATCCCAACTGCTTTGTGAGGCAGAAACTTTCATTTCCATTTTATAGACAAGCAAACTGAGACCCACAGAGCTAAAAGGACTTCCTGGCCTGGGTCACTGAAGAAGAGTTAAGTAGACAACAGTCCCACAAAGATATTTCCATGCATCACTAACAAAGCCAGCTTGGCAAAGGCCCTCTGCCTGCCTGGGCCAGGTTTGCTACAGTTCATACCCCAAAACTTTATCAAAATACTTTAATATTTTGGCACAAGGTGGTAAGCAATCCCTAACCCAAGCCCCCCTCTACAAAACCCCTCAAGTCTCCCCATAATCCAGTAACAAAAGGATTAAATCCTGCTCTGGCCAGGGACCACCAGGATCTCTGTGGTGGGAATCCATTCTGGCTGGCCAGTGCCATGCCATCAGCCTAAGTAGTTTAAAGCCACTGCTCCGCTCACAGCTCACCTGGACCATGATGTTATCACTTGATGCCGCCTCCTGGGCCTCATTCACCCAGCGCTTGACCACGTCAAAGCTGCACTTCAGCAGGTGCTGTGGGCAATGGGGCACATTAAGGGGCAGGAAGGTAGGAGGCTCTCCTGTCACATCTGCTGGGCCTGGCTTGCAGTTCAGCCTGGTTTTTCCCTCAGACAAAGCCCAGGACCTCTCCACAGTCTTGGTCTTCTGAGCTGGTGCACAAGCACGGGACAGCTCCCACCCTCACTCTCCCAGGCTTTAACTCCTATAATATGTCACCCCAAAAGATGGACTAAGGCTCTTCAACTGCCCCCTCCTCAATCAACCCAGAATTCCCTGGCACTTTCCACTAAGAAGGTAAGTGGGACTCTCAGATTTGGGGATACAAAAGCACTGGAAAGCAATTCTAATATTTTCTTTAGAATATATCCTGCCTTCCCCCCAACCCCAAACCAACCCCTGGCCCTGCAGGGTCCCGGCTGCAGTTACACACCAGAGAAGACACTAGGGCAGAGCTGGAGACACTGGGCACCTTGTCCACGATGGCCTGTTTCATGTAGCGCTCGATAGCCTGCAGCATGGTGCTCTGTGGGGACAAGGAGTGGGACAGGAGGGGACCCCATCAATTTTTAGTAACCTTCAGGGATGCAGGTGACAGGGTGTGGAGAAATGAGGCGAGGAGGAAGCAAACATGTTTCCTGTGCACCCCAACCCGCATCATGAGGCAGGGACAACCTAAAGCATGCAAATGGTGAAACTGAACCTTGATTGAAAGCAGGGAAGGGAAGACGGCTGGACAGTGGTAGCAGACTCACGTCAGTGATCTGGCAGAGGGCTCGCACGGCTGGACCACGGTAGTTGTCTTCTTTCCCAGTCATGTCCTTTGTCAGGCTGCAGGGGCAGAAGGCATAAAACTCAAAACTGACCAGATAACTCCCCTGCTTTTGCTAAAACATTTCCTAAGCTTCTGACTGCCATTGCCATCAAGCATGAACTCTTTTAACATAAAGGCCATGCAATCTCTCCGCTCCAGGCATTTGTGTATGCTGTTTCCTTAGCCTGGAAACCTCCTCACTCCATCACCTCCACCTCTGCTATTTCTTATTCCTCCTTCAGGACACAGCTCAGGTCTTCTAGAGGCTTTTCATGACACAAATTCAAAGCGGGTGCCTTTCTGGTCTGTTCTCTCAGCCTATCATATGTCCCATGTTATATCCTTTCTGAACGACCTGCCTGGTTGTTTCTCTGTGAATTCTGGGAGTGCAGAGGCCATGTCTGTCTTGTTTGCTGCTCCAGTCCCAGAGCTAATCACAGGGACTAATAGACAGTCAATAGATATTTTCTAAATGAACCCTCAAATAAATATATGACACCCCTTCTATACTCACCCCCCCAAAAAAAAACACACAAAAAACAAACCTGTGAATAAGAATAAGAGAACCGAGCCCCAGATCTTAAGGGCAGGGATATACTTTAGTCATCACTCAGCCTAATGTAGAAACCAGTACTTAGTAAGGAAACCTATTTGTATACCTCTTGTATTTTCTATGTCCATTTTTCTTGTGCTCTCTCTTTTTTTCCCTCTCTTGTGCTCTCTCTTGGTATTCACTAAAGTCACTGTGAGAGTTCCAGGCTGACTCAGGTAACTAAGAGAAATCTAAGGAAAGTAAGGTGCCCGAGCTAAGGCCAGAGAATTAAAAGGGAAACAGCATACTCTAGAGGTTGCCATGGGCAGCAGTAAATGAAGGATAAAGGAATCAGAAGATGAAAGGGCGCCTAAAAGTATGTCAATCAAGTTTCATTGTCTAGCCCTAGCTGGTTTGTGTCAGTGGTTAGAGTGTCCCCCTGTGGAACGAAAGGTCCAGGGTTCGATTTTAGTCAATGGCACATGCCCAGGGTTTGGGGCTCGATTCCCCAGTAAGGGCCGTGCAGGAGGCAGCCGATCAATGACTCTCTCTCCCTTCCTCCCTGAAATCAATAAAAATATATATTTTTTTAAGTTTCATTGCCTAGTATATATGAGAAAAAATGGTCTCTGTATCAATAGAACCCATCAGAGGAACCATCCACAGACTGAAGACTTACCTGCTGGTGACGATGATGACATCCTCTGCAATGCTAGACATCTCCTTTATGGTCAAGTAGCACATTCGACGAAGGGTGGGCTGGGAAAGATGGAAAAAGCCCTATGACCCCTAGCCCAGCATGAGGGCCGGCGTTAGAAAAAGAAAAGTCCAGGCTACACAAAACTCCAGACTTTCCCCTCTCAAGGAAAGCTGTTGTGGCACTTACATCGTTGGACTGAAAGAGCTTGGTCATGGCAAAAAAGGCCTCAGTTGCTTCAGTGGTCCCCAGGTGCTCCCCCTATTTTAATCAAAACAGAAGTATCAGCTTGGGATGAAGGAGCCAGAAGGCTCTTCCAGCTGGATCAGCCCAGGCCAGGTCCTCAAAGCCCTCATCAAAGACAACACATCAGAATTGGATGCGGAGAGGATCCAGAGCTGGACCACTGGGCTGTTGAATAGCCTAAGGGCTTTGTGACTTAAGTGTTCCCCAACATCTCCCAACGCTGTTTTCTCTACCCCTAAGCCTCCCGTTACCTGGTTTATGAGGTAAAGGATCTTGGTGAGAATGTGGGCACATTTCCGAGGGTTGATGGGAGTTTCATTAAATACACGGGCCTAAGAAGAAGTGACCAAGGATATTACTTTCTAGTCCGGTATATTTCCCGCCCATTTCCCATCAAGCACATTCAAAGGCTAAGAAGTCCCCAGAATAAGTAAATTCAGTTGCTTAGATAAGCTTATTTTCATAAGGAAAGGGTTTTGGCTTTTATTTCTTTAATTCATCTATTAACGACACCTGAGATCTTCCTTAATTTCAATCCTAGTTAGGAATATGCTCACTTATTGACTAACAAATAGTAGTAAACGCTTGTTAAATAGAAAGAGAAATGAAGAACAACAAAAATGTAAGCATACTGAACTCTCTCCAGGAAGAAGTTTTCCTGTCTTCCCTGGAACAGATTTCTCCCCTATTGGTTCTTTAAACCAGCATTTTGAATGTGTTAGCATATCAATGAAATCCATCTGAACATTAAGAGCAGAGAGGGGAACAGATGACACTTGCCTCTTGGAGTACCGCACTCTTCTCAAGGTGCTGGAATGGGTTGGAACCTCCACCTATACTCAGAGAACAGAGAAGACAGTACAAGCGGTGACCCTGAATTTCAAAATTCTCCCATAGAGAAGGGACAGATGTCCAGACTGTCTACCTAGTCAAGTTCAAATTCCTCCGAATGGCAATCAAAGTTCTACAAACCTGCATATAAGTCATACCACTCTCCTGCAAGGTTTGCCCTGTACCACAAACCACTTAGTCATTCAGCTGCCCTGGTACCATTCTTCTGTGTCTTTCATAGTGTCTTGTCTCGAATTCATTCATTAGTGCACAAGGTACTTAACTGACCCCTGCTATGTGTGAGGACCACCATCTCCCAGTGACTAGGGTTTCTTCACAGGGGATGTCACATTTGTAATTAACTACATGTTTTATTATTATTTGGTTTATGTCTCTCGCCTCCATTATGCCTGTGACCATTCTAATATTCCCAGCGTAGGCAGTAAATGTCTCACTTCCACTGCAGCATGAGGACACAGTTAAATGCCTGGCATGCAGTAAGTGCTCGGCATGTAGTAAGTGCTCAAGATGTTTGCTAAATAAATGAATGAGAATCCAGGTTCTGAGCCGCAGGGCACTGGCCCCACAGATAACGCTTCCGTTTGCCAGCATCAACCTAGTGCTGACGAATCCCAAGAGATCGGACCGGAAAAGGGGACAAAAGAGCATCTTCTACTCCCCTGACAGATTCGGAAACTGAGGCCCCAAGAGGCGCGTGACCCGCCCAAGGTCATCCAGCGAACAGCGGTACGTTCTTACGAAAGCGGGGGCAATGGAGCATGCTCTGGCTCTACGAGGCTTGCCATTGACCAGTCGTGGGCCTTTGCACAAACCTCTGCCCCTCATTGTCTGCCCCTCATTGGACCTCGGTCTCGGGTCACACAGAAGCCCCAAAGGGAGGGCTCCCAAGGGAGGATGCTGAGAGCCTGCGCGATGGCCCAGCTTTCCTCAGGCCTAGCTTCAGGCCTGGGCCCCCTCACCCGATTCCTCGTCTTTCTTGTCGAATTTCTTCAGCATGGTGGTGCCGGAGGGGGCGCCAAGCAGTAGCCTTTTGCTGGACCGGCGCGGCTCCCTGCGATGCTGCGATGGCGTTTGCACACAGGCACTTCCGCCAGCCACGTAGCCCTGCGACAAGCCCTGCGTTCTGCGCAGGCGCACTCTGCGCCCTACGCATGCGCGGACGCCGAGCGCCCCGCCCAGTCACGCTTTAACCCAGTTCCGGTCCGGAAGGGGCTTGGGCTCCAGGGGATGCGTTAGGGGGTTTGGGGCTGGGAGTGACGGCGCTGCGGCCTTAGACTCGGAGCTGACGGGCACCCCAGGTCTGCACTGGACTCCACCTTATCTGTACAATAGGAGGAGGAGTCCCTGCGCCTTTGCGTCGCGGCGTGAGTTTAAATGGGCTTTCGGAAGTGAGGCGCCTAGCACACCGGCCCGCATAGACCCCCCCAATGAATGTTACATGTTATCCCCTATCAGGGAGGCCTCTCTAGCCACTGCTCACTTTCAGTCCTCTGCCCTAGCCTCTAGCTAGAATAACCATCTAACACTATTTTGAATTTATTGATTTTGTTTTCTTTTACTCACCGCTGTGGCATACAGTAGGTGCTCAGTAAACTTGAGTGAATAAATGCATGAACTTGCTTTTTTTTTTTTGCTTTTTTTTTTATTATTATTTTTTTTTTTACCTCTGCCCACCTCCTATCACGTCTGTTTCTGGTGCAAATGGTTTTGTATTTTAACATTCAGGGATCTAACTAAAGTAAAAGACCAGCATAGAAACTTAAATGTGCGTTTTAAATACTGGGGGTATTTATGGAGAGCCTGTTAGATACGCCACCTAGCGCTGAGGACGAGAAGAAATGGGAGATGGGGAGAAGGAAGCAAAACCCAGGGTTTACCTCCCTTGGGCGGCACACTTTGATGCCAAGGTAAGGACCGAAAGTGCCCCGGTGCCAAATTGCATTGACTACCCCAAAGCCGAGTCAGGATGACTGAGCGCTGCGACGCCTGGCACCAGCCTGACTAGGGATGACTATGGGAATTATGGTACAGCCCTGGGATGAAATATTCTGCACACACCATTTATAAAGGAATATTTCTTTTCTGTTTGAATGGTTATTGTTTTAAATTTATTTTTTAAATTATAGTTGATTTACAATATTATATTAGTTTTAGGTATATAACACAATGATTAGACAGAGAGATATTTCTGATGACTTGGGAGGCAATATGCAAACTTCTTATAATGAGACATTAAAAAAAGAAAAGCAGCCCTAGCCGGCTTGGCTCAGTGGATAGAGTGTCAGCCTTCAGACTAAAGGGTCCCAGGTTCGATTCCGGCCAAGGACATACGCCTTGGGTTTCAGGCTTGATTCCCAGTAGGGGGGCATGCAGGAGGCAGCCGATGAATGATTCTCTCTCATCATTGATGTTCCTGTCTCCTCCCTTCCTGTTTGAAATAAAAAAAGAAATATTTTTTTTAAAATAAGAGCTGCTTAAAAAAAAAAAAAAAAAGTAAGGTGTAAAACTGTTCAAAATTAAGGTGAAATAAATTTGCCTCATAGTTAAAAACCAAGAACCCCAGAGATTTGGATTGCATTTTTCCCTTATGGCCCCCATGTTTGGGGGTCTGACGGTGCCAAGCACTGTGTTATATGTTTCACAAGCACTCTCACTTAACCCCCCGAGAGTGGTAGTGGTACTGTTATCTCCATTTTCCAAATGAACTGAGGGTTACAGGATGGCCCAGAGTCACCCAGTTGAAGAGCCAAAGTTTGAGCTCAAGTCTAATTAACTCCAAAGCTCTCACTTGTAGTAAAGGTTTATTTAAATCATCCCCTGTCGGAAATTTAATTGTTCTCAGTTTTTCCATGTGTAAATAACATGATGATGAACATCTTGGTGACACATTTTGTTTCTGTTTCCCATTGTTTCCCTAGGCTACAACTCTAGTAGGGCACTCCTTTGTCAAAGGGTGTGCTGTTTACTGCCTTCTAGAAATCCATGTCAGTTCTACTTGCCCAGCTTGTTTCAGTGTCAGCATTTACCAATCATTGCCCCTAGTGAACAACCAGGAAGAGAAACTGACATTTTTACAGCTGTTGTAGGGCAGGAAAGGCACCAGCTGTCTGACCACAAGGGTCAGACCAAACCTGGGTTCAGCAACCTTGGTATTAAGGTTCTGGCTAGGAAAGAACTCAGAGCCAAGACCCAAACTGTAAGAGAACAGTTGGTAAATCAGAGGTGGAGAAGGTAATTCCTAGAAGAAATGGGCTTATCAAACAAGTTCTAGAAATAAAGGAAGGGCCCTTGAAGCTTGGGAGTGAGGAAGTTAATGGTAAAGTGCCTGGGGAAGGGGAAGAAAAAGGGGAAGGCACACCGGTCCTCCACCCTAAGGGTTTTTTTGTTTTTAAAAATATATATTTTATTGATTTTTTTTTAACAGAGAGGAAGAGAGAGGGATAGAGTTAGAAACATCAATAAGAGAGAGTCATCGATCAGCTGCCTCTTGCACACCCCGTAATGGGGATGTGCCCACAACCAAGGTACATGCCCTTGACCGGAATCGAATCCGGGACCCTTCAGTCCCCAAGCCAACGCTCTATCCATTGCATCAAACCGGTTTCGGCCAGGGCGGAGATTATAAGGGAAGTCCCAGGAGATCTCAGTAGAATATTCAGTAGCTTTCCAGGTGTGTCCATTCCAGGTGTGGTTTCCACTGATTGATTGGCCAGCACCAGGTTATTATTCAGTGGAGCTGTACATCAGCTGTGGCTGGTTTTATTACTTATCTGGACCCTGGAGCTAAAATACAACTGAGGCCCATATTTATCTCTAGGGAGGAAAGGTCAGGAGGTCCAAACCTCACAACCAGCAGATATGCTAAGGGAGGAAAAGTCACCCTGGGGGTGAGGTCCCACCCTACAATTGATTGTCTGTTACCAGGCACCTTAGGCTTTCCACCTTGATGACCTTCTGTATCTGGCTCATCGTCCTTGCTCTGCTCCTGTCTAACTGCTTACAGCACAGCCACTTCTTTGGACCAAACACAATACTAACTCACCCTCCTATATTGTCGCTTTTTATTCTCAAAACAATACCAGGAAACTAACATTCAGAGAGGCCTATATGCATTTACCCAAGACCACATAGCAAACCAGGGACATAAAGCAGCCAGAGTGTGATACATGGCTGCTGCTCTCCCAATCTGGCTCAGCTGAGTGGCCACCTTCTCAGAGAGGCATTCCTGACCTCCATAGTTAAAGTACCACCCCTCTGTTTACCATGATGTTGTTTTATGTCCTTCATGGAAATTTATCACTGTCCAAATGATCATTAGTTTGCTTGTTATATTAGTCAGGGTTCTGCAGAGAAATAAAAACAATAAAGAGGTACCGAAACCGGTTTGGCTCAATGGATAGAGCGTTGGCCTGCGGACTGAAAGGTCCTTGGTTCGATTCCGGTCAAGGGCATGTATCTTGGTTGCGGGCACATCCCCAGTAGGAGGTGTGCAAGAGGCAGCTGATGGATGATTCTCTCTCATCAATATTTCTAGCTCTCTATCCCTCTCTCTTCCTCTGTAAAGAATCACCGAGACCGGTTTGGCTCAGTGGATAGAGCATCGGTCTGCGGACTGAAAGGTCCCAGGTTCGATTCCGGTCAGGGGCATGTGCATTGGTTACAGGCACATCCCCGGTAGGGGGTGTGCAGGAGGCAGCTGGTTGATGTTTCTCTCTCATCGACGTTTCTAGCTCTCTATCCCTCTCTCCTCCTCTCTATAAAAAAATCAATAAAATATATTTTTTTAAAAAGAATCAATTAAATATTTAAAAAAAAAAAAAAACAATAAAGAGGGAGAGGGAGAGGAATTGGCTCATGCAGTTATGGGAGCTGGCAAATCACAAGGTCAGCAGTCAGCAATCTAGAGACTTAAGAGAGCCAGTGATTTAGTTCCAGTCAAAGTCCAAAGGTCTGAGAACCAAAAAAAACTCATTATATAGTTCCTGTCTGAAGACAAGCAAGCTCAAGACTCAGGAAGAACTAATGTTTCAAATCAAGTCCAAAGTCAGGAAAAAAGCTGATATCTCAGTTAGAAGGCAATCAAGCAGGTGTAGGTCCTTTTTATTCAGCCTTTTTGTTTCATTCAGGCCTTCCACTGATTGGATGAGGCCCACCCACACTGGGGAGGATTCTTTGCTTTACTCAATCTACTAATTTAAATGTTAATCTCACACAAAAACACCCTTGCAGAAACACCCAGAATGAAATGTTTGGGTGTACCATGACCCAGTTAAATTGACACAAAATTAACCACCGCACTTGTCTATTGTTCTCTCTCTGCTTTTAACTGCTTGACATCTGGCACATAGTAGGTGCTCAGTAAATAGCAGTTGAATAAACAAATAGGGTCTTAGTAACTTCATGTTTATTCTTTTTCTGCAATAAGAAATCCCTTCATGAGATAAGAGATCAACCGAAGGACTTGTATACATGCATATAAGTACAACCAATGGACACAAAACTCGGGAGGGAGGGTATTTACAGGAGGGGGGTATTGGTATATGTACAAAAATAATAATTTAATTAAAAAATATATTTTTAAAAAAAGAAAAGAAAAAAGAAATCCCTTCATGTTGATCACTGATTTACTAAAAAGAAAAACATTACATCTAAAGTCAAACCAATGTTTGCGTGCAGATGTATGCTATTCTTTTCCTGTTATGTTAGCACCCTGAACTGGGACTCTGAGGATAAATCAGCTTCTTGTGGATCCTCAGTTCCCAATAAACGAATAAACATCCACCTTGCCCTTCTCTGTGGGTGTGACTGTAAGCCTAACGGGCCTGCTACAGGGCTGCAAAGTGACTGAGAGTTTCCTGCCACTAAAAAGTAGGAGGAGAAGCAATCATCTCAGGCTCTCTCCACCCTCTGGGAAAAGTGGCGTGGCTGAAAATTATTAAATGACTCACTAGAAACTTGTGACAGTGACTGAGAAGGCTTTAGAACATCTCCACCCA